ATAATTTCTTCAAAGTTTTTTTTTTTTTTTTAACATTTTGTTAAAGAAGTGAATGATGGGAACATAAAACTTATTTAAGAGATGGGCGTTAGTTAACATAAGATGCACACACATGCACACTCACAACCCTGGCTTTAACTTAGTCAATTATATACAAGCTGAGAGTAAATAACTAATGAACAATTGACACTCTTCATAACAATTGCTTCACAGGTAATGTTCAATCTTTCACTCACTTATCTTCTACCCCTGGGATAGAAGTTTCTTCCACACTGGAAATGTGGAGCCTTCTTACCTGAGGGTATGGAGTTACCTTCTATCCTGAGAGTGTGGAGGTGCCTTCTATACTGAGAGTGTGGAGGTGCCTTCTACCTTGGGAATGTGACAGTCACCTTCTATCCTGAGTGTAGAGGTGCCTTCTATCCTGAGAGTGTGGAGGTGCCTTCTAACCTGAGAATGTGGAGGTGCCTTCTACCTTGGGAATGTGACAGTCACCTTCTATCCTGGGAGTGTGCAAGGACCTTCTACCTTGTGAGTTTGAAACTACCTTCTACCCTGGCAGGTGGAGCCTTCTAACCTTCAGGGTATGGAGTTACCTCCTTCTATAAGAGTACGGATAGTAACTAACTTCCAGGGAGTTTCCTTCTACCATGTGTGTGGAGTTACCATCGACCCTGGGAGTGTTGAGGTACCTTCTACTCTGGGAATATGAAGTTAGTCGCTTTCTACCCTGGGAGTGTGAAAGTACCTTCTACCTTGGGTATGTGGAGCCTTCTTCCCTGAGGGTGCAGAGTCACCTTCTACTTCAGAGTAATGAAGTACTTTCTTCTATGGGAGTATCAAAGTACCTTCTGCCCTCTGCGATGAGTTAAGTACCTTCTACCCTTCAGGATGTGTGAAAGTACCTTCTATCCAGGATGTGTGGAAGTACCTTCTACCCCTGCATGATGTGTGGAAGTACCTTCTACCCTTCTGGATGTGTGGGAGTACCTTCTTCACTTCATGATGTGTGGAAGTATCTTCTACCCTCTCAGGATGTGTGGAAGTATCTTCTACCCTCTCAGGATGTGTGGAAGTATCTTCTACCCTCTCAGGATGTGTGGAAGTATCTTCTACCCTCTCAGGATGTGTGGAAGTATCTTCTACCCTCTCAGGATGTGTGGAAGTATCTTCTACCATTCAGTTTGTGAAGATACTTTTGATTTTTGCATAAAATGGGTACTACATGTTTTTAGAATTATCTTAAACAAAACTTCTTATTAGAGGTAATTTCACAGCTTTGTAGGACAAACAGTTAATTTTCCAGCTGTTTGGTACAGAAAAAGTTCATCTCACAGCTATGTGGGACAAAAATAGTTAATGTCACAGCTGTGTGAGACAGAAAGCTAATGTGTGAGACAGAAAGAGTTAATGTCACAGGTGAGTGAGACATAAAGTTAACGTGCGAGACAGAAAGAGTTAATGTCACAGCTGTGTAGGTAGCCAAAGAATGAAGAGACCAGACATGATCACACAGTCCGTTGCAGCACTGACAGAATATATATATATATATATATATATATATATATATATAGAGAGAGAAAGAGAGAGAGAGACAGACAGACTCACTGTCTACTACTCTGGTGCAGTGATTTCAAGAAGATGGTTAAGGTGTTTGCAGGAAAAATAAAAAACAACATGCAAGATCAGTCTAATGTGACATCAATACGGTGTATCATAATCCTAATCAGTTTATAATGTAACATCATCTACCATTGAGAAAAATACCTTTGTCGTGACTTTCAGACATTTGTACAAGAATCGCACCGTGGAAGAAACTGAGGCCCCACCTGGCAGTGGATACATTGCAACCAACCTCTATTAGAAGGCAGTAAAATTTGTTTTCAAGTTCCAAAAATCAAATGTCAATAAAACAGACATTGCCAAAAGTCCTGACAGCAAAAGCCAACAAGTTGCAATGTCCAAAGTCTTGCGTATCAGATTTGTGAAATCTGTGTGTGTTCCAGTGCCCCATTCGGATGGGACGGGAGGGAAGGGGGCGCAAATGAAATAGACCCACTGCCTCCTCAGCAAGCATGTCTCAAAAGGCAAACTAATACAAGATTTTTCCTATGAAGTCGGAGTTGTCTGCCTGAGAGGCGAGGGACCAACAGTTCTGCATACAAGTAAGCCAGATCTGTAAAGGGATGTGCACGCAAAATTCAAGACTAAATTCCAGAAGTGAACAAACAACCAGAAATTTCCATTAAGAGCTGACAGGTGGTGAACCCTAAGAAGAAGTAGAATGATTAGTTAAAAGCTTAACTACTGGTGGGAGTGTGCAAACACAAAGGAACCGAAGTCTCAAAGAAGCTACAGATATTCAAAAAGAGAAAACTATGTTTGCCTTATTTCTTCATGAAAAAAAGCACAACAAGGTTGCAATCCTTCAGTAAGGACAATCAGAACCCTGAGCTCGCAATCTTAATATAAAACTAAGGTGGCAATATGATACTACTTAAGACAGAACATGAAGGTAAGAATATTTTATAACTAATAAACAGTGCAAACAAAGCCACAATCTCATTGTATTTGTAAACAGCATTTAAAGCTTGTGATTTATTCATACTAGTTAACATCACTTAAAAGTGGCAATCTCTTCATACTAGCAGCAACAACCAAGTCAAGTAAAGGTGGCAGTCTCTCTAACACTAGCAAACAGCACACAATGGTGGCAATCTCTTAATACTATTAAAAACATCAAATAAAGGTGTCAATTTCTTCATACTATTAGAAAGCACACAAAGGTGGTGATCTCACTGTACTAGTAATGTAGCACACAAAGGTGCCAATCTCTTCATAGTATTAGAGCACATTAAGGAGGCAATCTTTTCATTCTAATAAATAGAGCACACAAATCTGGCAGTCTCACCATGCTAGTTTTAAAAAAAAAACACATAAAGGAGACACTCTTTACATACTGACATAAACAGCACATTAAGGTGGCAAATTTTTTCATTAAGTCGAACAGCACAGAGAAGTGACAGTCTCTTCATCGACTTGAACTGCACGTAAAGGTGGCAATCTCATGACAGATATGCAACCCAAAACAAAAATGTTAAAATAATGTATAAATATAATCGCTGAAATACGATTTAAGTAAACATTTTAAAACAGTCACCCCAGTTTTTGTTCACAATATGTTCACCAACACGCTCAGACCATTCAATGCATCCATCCCTTATATAAAAAACTGTGTAACAGACGTGCGACTGCTGTCCTAATTCACATACAAACGTCTGTCTGTTTAGTTACATCTATACGGCATGTCCAGAAAGTCCTTGTGTGGCTTTGACGTTCACATATAAATGTTACGTGTTTACAATTAGTTACGGATGAGATGCGGGCATCCATGGCATGAGGTCAAACGCCTCTCATTCTAAAGGTCCAGGGTTTGTTTTAGAGATGTGTGCTCAGTTTATGTGCTCAGTTTACGAGCACAATTTTTAAGCAGAACCCCGGGGATTGCCTCTGGAGCTAGTCTGTCATCTTTGCGAAACTTCGGCGGCTGTAACCGACTAAACTCCAGCAGAAAGTTCTGGCTGTTCGTCCACTTCTGAACTTCAGTCTTTTTTCAAGAACCTGCATTTTTGCATGCATATCCATTCAACAGATATGGCAGATTCCTGGTTCCTTACCACTCTCAGGTGGGTATGCTCCAACTTGAGAGGAAACGCCCCTAATCAGTTGCCTCTTATGGAATGAAATTATGTAAGAATGGAGGGAGACCTCGAAGGGCAGAATGTTAGACGAGCCTGCGTGCCCAATTCTCAACCCTTTAAAAATAAAGTTTGTTCGTTCGTTCCCCCCCCCCCCCCCCACCCGCCTTCCCCCAAATACATCTCAGGCTAATGCACTCTGACTTCAAAGGAGGTTTGAAGTTGGAGTACATCTGCCTAGGAGCTGAGGAACCAACAATCTGCACACAAATAAGCTAGAACTAAAAAAAAAAAATGTGCACAGAAAACTCCTAAACAAGACTAAAGTATGGGTGAACTAGAATTCTGAGCCACAATTTACAACTGATGAATGTAAATAAGAGGAGAGAATATATACATATATATAGAGACAGACACACACGCATGCAACCCCCCCCCCCCCCCCCCTAACTTCATGCATCTCAAATTCTGGAACAAAACCCCAAAGTTCAGAAGTAGATAAATAAGCAAAAACCCCCCCCCCCCCCTTTTTTTTCCCAATTAATATACAAGGGTTTTATGGACACACTGCGCAGTCGAACATGAGGACTTGGCTTTGGCTTTTATAGCCCATATCCCAACACTAGGACATAGATTTTGTAGCCCATATCCCAACACTAGGACATAGATTTTGTAGCCCATATCCTAACACTAGGACATAGATTTTGTAGCCTATATCCCAACACTAGGACATAAGATTTTGTAGCCCATATCCCAACACTAGGACATAGATTTTGTAGCCTATATCCCAACACTAGGACATAAGATTTTGTAGCCCATATCCCAACACTAGGACATAGCTTTTGTAGCCCATATCCCAACACTAGGACATAGCTTTTATAGCCCATATCTTAACACTAGGACATAGATTTTATAGCCCATATCTTAACACTAGGACATAGATTTTATAGCCCATATCTTAACACTAGGACACAGCTTTTATAGCCCATATCCCAACACTAGGACATAACTTTTGTAGCCCTTATCCCAACACTAGGACATAGCTTTTATAGCCAATATTCCTACACCAAGACATTACTTATCTCCCTCATATTTCAACACTAGGACATTACTTATATCCCAATATTCCTACATTAGGTCATTACTTAAATCCCTCTTATTCCTATAATAGGACATTACAGATACACCCCGTATTCCAACAGTAGGGCATTACTTATATTCCCCATTTTCCTATAAAAGGACATTTTTTAATTCCTCATACTGCTATACAAAATCATTACCCCATTTTCCTGCAAAAGGACATTATACTGAATACTGCACATTCCTACACAGGGACATTAGGTATAGACCCATATTCCTACACAAGGACATTAGGTATAGATCTATATTCCTACACAAGGTCATTAGGTATAGATCTATATTCCTACACAAGGACATTAGGTATAGATCTATATTCCTACACAAGGACATTAGGTATAGACCCATATTCCTACACAAGGACATTAGGTATAGACCCATATTCCTACACAAGGACATTAGGTATAGACCCATATTCCTACACAAGGTCATTAGGTATAGATCTATATTCCTACACAAGGACATTAGGTATAGATCTATATTCCTACACAAGGTCATTAGGTATAGATCTATATTCCTACACAAGGACATTAGGTATAGATCTATATTCCTACACAAGGACATTAGGTATAGACCCATATTCCTACACAAGGTCATTAGGTATAGATCTATATTCCTACACAAGGACTTCATGGACACACTGCATATTTCTGTTCTGATACTTCACATTTACAGGTAGGAACACACAAACATGTGCCGTGACCCAAATAAACATGACTTTCCTGGCAAGTTATATGACATTAATTTATGCCATATAGATGAAAGTATTGATGTCGTCATCATCCCTGCGCATATACTTGTGCTCTATCAACCACTCAATCTGTTCTTTGATGAGCTTCTTGGATGGTAAGAACATGTTCTTCAAGATCTCCACCAGCTCAGTCTGCAAGGCTGCATTTGTCAACCTCTTCCTCATCTTCATGATCTTGACAATTGCTTCCTGGGGAAACAAAGTATTTGCCTCGTCAATCACAAGCACATAACCAAGAGACATAATTACGTTAATCCTCACCATGTAGCAGGTCCTTTGCAGAACGTTGCTGTCATCATGGTCTGCCTGAAAGAAACTCTCTCGCCAACTCTCCCACCTCATGCACTTTCACATCCAAGGAGTCACTTAAATCCTGTACCCATCTTTATGTTGGTCAACCTCTGCCCCTCCTTCCTGGTACCATGATTTCTGCTATCATTATTCCAATCCTTCGTGGCGCTTGATATGGCCAGAATATTTCAGCTTCAGAGATGAGATGCTGTTTATAAGCCAATCTTCTTTGATGTTCAGATCTTTTAGAATGTCATTATTTATTCGGCTACGGCGTTGTGAGTCCGACTCGTAAGCCAGCATACCGCGATCGAAACCAGCGTGGGCTGCGTGGATTGTTATCGTGGTATGGGACGTCGCAGGTCGACCCAGCCTAAAATGGGTACCAGGATGGGCTGTCCTGGGAAAGTAAAGACAGCCGGCGTAATGCTGACCACATTACCCACAGATGGTCTGTAAAAATATGGGACGCTCTGCCCATATGCCCGATGCGCCGAAAGGCGTGAAAAAGGAACTTTACTTTTTTTTTCTGTCCATGGTATTCTGAGAATCTTTCTATATCACTTCAGCCCAAAAGCCCCTATTTGAATTTTTAAGGACTTGGATAAAGTCGACGACTCACACCTATCTAAAGCTATCTTCAAGATTACTGATACAGAGAAGAAAAACAAACCACTGAGACAATAACATTAATGGAAGTCATCAGTAGTGCCAAAACCACTTAATCTGATCTATAAATGTTATGTAAATTACAAACTCTATCTGTTAACCACAAAACCAGACATCTACATACCTGCACTCGTAAAATTCTGAGATGCATGATACCCTCATTATCCTCTTCCCTGCTTTTCTCTGTTGTCAGTTGCAGCCGACCAATCAGATTTGTTTTTCCTCGTTTCTGTGCCTTGCCAGATTTTCTGTTGAGAGCAGACAAAAACTGGTTGTTAGAACACTCACAACTTAAAAAGACAGACAGACCTGAAGACAAAAGAAATGAATAATAAATTATTGAGAACTTTGATGCAGACAGTTGTACAATTACTTATCTGTCATTGAATATATGGGTAAGAACAGATTTATAGGTGCTTCAATTGCCTCAAAAGTTCTACAAGTGTAAAATGACTGATGATGCCTGTTCTGAGTTGGTTGATCAAATATCTTGTAGCCTTGGTGCCTTGGTGAAATGTTCATTTTCTTTCAGCTCCAGGCTGCACTCCCATTTCCATCAGCCTAGACAGGGATGCATGTCCTTTGTTGCATTCGTCGTAGCAGTAAGTGCTGCCCATGGCATTGATAACATCATACCTCTCCAGTGCCAGACAAGTCATAGAAACAGTAGTGTCTGCAAGATAATCCACATGCTCACTGCCTCAAACACTTATATGACCCGGGACAAAGATGAAGGTTAGGTCAGCTATAGTACTAAAGTGTTACAATTTAGTAAAAAAATAGAGAGAAAGAGAGAAAAAAGAACTTTTTTTCTTTTTTACACTGAGGGTGCAACTGGCTCATCATGATAAAACTCTTGCTTTTATAGGCCAGGAAAGACAAGTTTGTCACTAGTTTTCAAATGAGACAATCAGGGACACATTCTGTAACAGCCATTGGTACAGGAACAGAGCAGTAATGGGGCAACCAGTCTGCAGTAATACTGAAACCCCGACTAACAATTTGTCCACTTATAATCAACCTTCCTCTGCATGTTATTTTTTATGTGAAGACCTCTTTCTCCTACAGATACTGCCGGCTTCCATTTATGTCTGGTTATCCAGTCATATTAGGAACATTTCTTAGATGTATTTTGTACAGTCCAGTATGTATGTTCTGCTGTTTGAGGTACTTGTCACATTGTGTTTTAAGCTCTGCGTAAATGAGACTATTAACCCTTTCACTCCGAGCAGCCACAAAACAGTCACTTCCAGATGGTACCAACTTCCCCATAAGAGTTGCTTTCCGACTCGCTACAAAGGCATGTTAACCAGACATCTAACTAATAGGACTCATTGCATCTGTGCAAATGTTTAGCATGTCAGGGGGTGACTAAACTTTTTTTTTTAAAGCATGTTGGGAGAGGAAGGGTGGTGGTGGGGTAGGGGGGTTGGGGTGTTACTAAAAATGGCTGTTACTATTCAGGGTTTTCACCCCATCTGGTCAGGTGTGAGATTCCATAGGGAATTCTCCAGGACAGTCCTACAGTCTAGGGGTTTATGACATACTTTCGTTCGCCATGTAAATACAACGCGCCAATAAGTATCTTGGCTTCATTCGATGAGGTCGACACACTGTCTGCCAGATGAAAGTGCGCAGCTTTCTTTTCTCCCAGCTGAAAGTCAGCTACTGTCTTTTCTGTGAAAAGACTGTTCAAGGGTTAGAGTTAGATGCAAGAATGCTGACAGGTCAAGAAAATTGACAGCGGGGGCCTATTCACGAAGTAAGAACAGCGCTTCCAAACAGGACACAGTGGGAGTGAGGAACAAATGAAAGTAACACATATTGGAAATGAAGATACAACAAACGATAACGATGAAAAGAACCAACACATGACATGCCTAGAATAAAGGAGTTTTAGTGTTTTAGGGTTAGCATTGAATGAACAGTGACTAAGACTAACCACAACACCCCTATGGTTGGTAACAGACTGACTTGTGAATTCCCTATGAATATCTCGTAATTAACGGGATCGGGTGAAAAGAGTAAATTGTACCACATGGCTTTATTTGTAGAAATTGCTGTCATGTTTTCCATAGACTAAAGTGATCACCAGGTCAGAGGGTCAAGTGTAATACCAACCAATTGATTTTATGCTGCATTCATTTCTACTGATTACTTCCCTTACTCTAAAGGATTTGATTATGTTTTCAATAACTTGATTATGTGTTATTTTTTCTTTGTTTTCTCTCGGTCAGTGGAGTGAAAGAATTGTCTATTGTGGCTTATTCACAGAATAAAGTACCAGGTTTGTTCTGTTAACATTTTAATAGTTCTTCTTTTTCTTTGCGTTCACCAGCTGTAAACTCTGGTGGAAAGTTCTGGTTGTTCGTCCACTTCTGGACTGCAGTCCTGTTCCAGAACCTGAGTGTTGTGTGTGCATCCGTTTAACAGATCTGACACATTTGAGTGTAGACTGTTGGCTCCTTGCCTCTCAGGCAGATGCACTCCAACTTCGAAGGAATCTCTCAATTAGTCGACTCTTACAACATGCTTTTGGGCAGGCAGTGGGTCTATTCTTGTTTTCCCTATAACAGGGCCCCGGAACGCACACGGGGGACATTTTTATAGTTATTGCATGGCTGAGATATCTATTTTTTTAAATCACCTTTCTTCTGCAAGAAGTAAAGGGAATATCTACTTTTTGTGTTCCAGCACCTTCCTTGGTCAATGAATTTGCCATTTTATTTCCTGTCAAATGTTTCAAAAAAATTCAATTTTCAAGTGGCTGTACAGTAAGATTTTTACAAAATATCAGTTAGATTTTTACAAAACAACTTCAAGCATCAAACAATTACAAACACAGATAAATAAATCAGGGAAGGCAACTTACGTGAAAGCATACTGTTGATTCACCCAAAATTCTGTGTTGTCTGTAAAGTCTCGCAGACTTTTCACTTCAGGAGAACTCACAAGAATCCTATTCTTTGGCACCATAAGAGACTGCAGGGCATACAATGTTGGTTACATTACAATAAGTGGAAAAGATGGACTATAATCAAAGACTTAAACAACAACAAAAAAGGATTATACCAAGTAAAATCATAAATTTAAGGCATCTTCACTTCAGGAAAAGTAAATAAAGAGACCCTCTATGTTGCAAATGCCCTTTGTAATTCTAAAATACTCAGTTCAATTCAAGTTGCAAGTGGTCGCAGTAGGCCATTTTGCATTGATTTAAACAAATACATTGAATGCTAGACCACTCCTAAGCAATGGCAAACTATAAATGTAAAACTGCCTAGTAAAATCACAAGGAGCACACCAAAAAAATGTTAGGGTTGGTGTGTGACATCTTGTAAAGGACATATAAACAATTTTTATCCATCAGAGAGTGCAGTGCACACAATGTTTAGATTAATTATAACTAGTGTCAAACATGAACTTTAACCCCTGTCGCCCTGAGAAGACTAAATCTAGTCACTTCCGGCTGTGACACACATCCATAAATCTGACATATCGCCATTGCTGCAGTCACATGTTCTCAAAAAGTGTAGTCAAATGCCAGTGGTTCTGCGAGCACCCATGTAGTGTTTAGGAGGCCCATATGCAAATATATTAACTAAATATAATTTTCAGAAAATCAAAAAAAAAATCTTTAAAGAAAGGTTGACTTAAAATGTTCCCAAATGCCTCAGTGATAAAGGTCACAGGATCACAGCATGAGTCAGCCCATACACTCTTGATTTAGGAACTAGGGAATGCATTCCATTTAATGCTTCATATTTATCTTGCTTACTAATTGCTCTTATTACACAGCGTTTTATATTTTGAAACAAAAATTTAATGTGTAAATACAAATCTGTTTTTTATTTTTTTTTTATTTTTAACAATTATTTTTGAAAATTCTCATGAAAATAGTTCAAGCAACAATTTTTTGATAGCATTCATGCAGCAAAATAGTTCAAGATCCAGAATGGAAGTTAAATTAGGCATAAAAGTGTTTCAACATCTTGCCTCAATGGGAAATCAAACACATGGCCACCAAACTGGCAGGCAGCAGGCCAGCAAACTGCACTTTTGGGGCTCCCCATATTTTGATTTTTCAAGTTGATTCACACAAGCATACCTTCATCACCATCGTGAAGTGTCATCACCATATAAAAGGTCAGCTATAAGGAGTCTCCAAACTGTTGTCCTATGCTTATCTACAAGATTTATTTAAGCAGACTTCTCCGCCATCTCATAATGTTGTCCACACAATTATAAGGTTGTCTTCCTCTTGAAATTTTGAAGCTGCATGCTTTCATTCAATCCTACCCTAGCCCATCCATTAAAAAAGCAGCTGTCTCTCTTTACATAGCCAAAGTAAAAAGGTAAAGTCGGGAAATGTGAACCAGCGTCATTACACACTGTTACAAACCATAAGTGCTCTGCCACCAGTATGGACAGCTGATGAGAAACTGTCCGCCTGTTTCGCCGTCTGCACCTAACTCTGTAGCTACAGCGATGTTCCTCCATTTACCCTAGAGTGTCATTCTGGTACCTATTTCCTAGAGGCTGGGTGAACCCCGGGAGCCGCCCGGTTTCAAACACTGACCGTGGAGTCGCAGCTGGATTTAAAAAGCGAACCTCGTATCGACTGCGCTAACGCGACTCCCTTATATAGCCAAAGTAATTTAACTGACTCATATTAAGCTTGGGGACTACCATGTTATAGCGACTAGACCAGTGGCTCTCAACTTTTCTAACATCGCGGCCCTTTAATACTGTTCCCCATGTTGTGGTGACCCTCAACCATACAGTTATTTTCGTTGCTACTTCATGGCTTCAGTGAATGTGTTTTCTGATGGTCTTTGGAGGCCCCTGTTAAAGGGCTGTGATCCATAAAACAGTCGTGACCCATAGGTTGAGAACTACTGGACTAGACGCTCACCTGCGGATCAGAGGGTCATGGATTCGGGTCCTGACAGAGCTACAATTTGAGTGGGCACCAGTTATAGTTAAAGGAAGTGAAGGCGGCTGGCAGGATGTTGACAACATTACCCACTGAGTGCTGACTGGTCTATAACATATAGGTCTTGCCCTAAATGCCTAAAGGTGGGAAAAGGGTTCCTTTATGTTACATATTAAGCCCCCTTTGTTTTCTTCTCCTGCCACAATCTTCATGCTCATCTACAATTCACTTCATTTTTTACCCTCACCATCATCAAGTACCTTCTGTGTGAAGTGGAATGGGTGAGCATGCATCTCCCAAAACATGTGATCTACAACAGCATTTATCAACTCATTTGGAGGAGGGAATGGGGGTGGGGGGAGGTGCAGATTAAACCCAACCGCCAATAAGCATGTTGCAACAGATTACTAAATTAGGATTTGCTGAAACTTGATGTGTCATGCTGAGAAGAACCGATACTGTAGCAAAACTGTAAACCTCAACATAATGTGCAAACTGCCCTTTAAAGAGTCAGTACAGAAAAGAATGGTAGCTGCAATGGTGTAGTTGCTAGACGCTCACCTGTGAACCGAAGGTGGTGGGTTCATAATCCAAAAAGAGCTGAATAAGCTCCCAGGTCTACCCAGCCGTGAGCAGGTATCATGTGAAGTCATGGGAAGTAAAGGCAGAGGGTGTGATGCTGACTATATCAGCTACTAAGTGCTTAATGGTTTATAATTTGGATCTAGCATTATGTGCCCTAAAGGCATGGAAAAGGGTCCTTTACTTACTTTACTTTTTTTTTTTAAAGGAAGAAGAACAAGAAGGCCAGTCAACCAGAAAGCTACGATTTTTTTAAATGCACCTCACATAGCTAGTCGGCATCTGTGTCTAAGGGGTTGCGATGGCGCTTTGTATTGCCAGGTTCGATCCCACCTGCGGGCCATGCGCCTTGCATTGGTTTCGAGAAGCTGACCATCCAGAAAGCAATGGCAAACCACTGGATGTAAATTTGCCTGGAAAAACCACAACAGCTACAAAATGCTGGGGTTGGTTCTGCACTGTCCTGTTAAGGATATGCAACTAACTTGTAAACTTACATAACTAATAATATTTCTCTAACGGCTTACCATAATTGTTTTCCTGAGTTCATTATCTGGCAACTCTGTAGCCAGCTTCAGACTCTCGTAGGACAACCGTTCTGTTGGTCGCTGGTTCCACGCAAACAGTACAGCCATTTGAAACGTGGTCACCTCCAGCTCATACCGTCCTACATCATTTGCAAATGTGATCTAGTGATTGGACAACAACAACAACAAAATTATTATATTGGTTACAAAGGCTCTATGAATATTACTATTTACTGAAAATAACACAAGGAAACAGGCAAACAAGCAAAAGAATGTGTTTTACTTTAAAAGAATTTGAATCATCTTCTTCTCTAGTCCTGTTCTGCCTTTCAGCATCAGCTTTTGAAGATGCATCGTGTGCAAACCTTGATATGTGCTATGTAGATGCTAGTATTTACACCATCTGCTATTTTATCTAACCATTGCTTGCATGGTCGACCTCTAGGTCTGCTTCCATTATGTCTGTGACAGGTCTGTGGTGCAATATCTGATGGCAGTCTTGACACATGTAACCATTTTACTGTTGCCTCGTGATGTAGTTTAATATCAGTTCTGTCCCAACTTCTTTCCTGATATCGTCTTTGATGATCCTGTCTCTTCTAGCTATATTCAGGATTCACTGCAGACACTAAATTTCTTGAATCTATACTATTTAATGAGATTCGTAATGACAGCCAGTTTCTACGGTTGATCAAGGTATCTGGAATCCATTCTTACTAGCTAATTATCTCAAATGTGGCTCAAAGGGTCACTGTGGTGCCAAGCTGCTACAAGGAAGCAAACTAGAGAGAAAAAAACTACAATAAAATAAAAGATTTTTTAAAAATAACATGGCACAAAGGTATTTTACACTCTGCCCTCCACCCTCCTCAAGCATTAACTAATATACATTGAAATCCTTAATTTCAATAAAAGTAACAATGTATACTAACTAAGAAACATCTGCTGAAAATGTACATGTCAGTGGCTCATGAGACAAGAAACCATGTACCACAGAATGAACAACAATACAGAGACAAACCACAGAATGAACAACAACACAGAGACAACAGGCAACACTGCAGAACTTACAACTCCGTTTGACATGGCATGGTGCCACTGAAGTTTTCTACCACTGTGTTTATGCTTGTAAAACTCCTCCACCTTGTCAAGAGAAGAAACAAACACAGCAATGTTGATAATACTTTTATAACAGTTGCCATCAGGTGAAACTAAACATTTTATTTACATAGCAATGTGAAAGATGCACGGTTAGACAGATTTATATATTTAAAAAAGGCAAGAGGAGAAAATCTAGCAAATCTGTTTGTTGGTTTTGCGGACTGTAGTGCCAACCTTAAAAAAATTCAACCCTTCCAAAGTCACCTCTTATGACATGCTTGACAGGGTGCAGTGTTACTAATCTTTGCTTTTCTTAAGAGCCCCGGTAACACACTGATGATCAAAGTCTCCTTAATGACAAACTGAATTTAGCTGAGAGGTTTCTTTTCACTTCTTTAACTTTCCCTTTCTCCACTGTAAGAAGCCTGGCAAAGGATGACACACCTTGCTCATTTCAAGAGCAAATGATTACAATGATGGTAGGCCTTCAGCATCAAAGACGTGTGCACACACCTGAAGATCCGATGTGTGATCCAACTGAAAGCGCTTCTTGCCTATCAAGATGGTCCGAGTCACCAGCTCACTATAAATACTTTATGATTTAAAAACTGAACAGCTCAAACAATGGAGTTTATAAAACAAGAGACACAATAACAATGAGAAGCTCTACCTGAGTGATGGAATCTTCCAACTCAATAATAGGATTCATACAACATGATACAACCAACATAACATTAACACTGAGATGCTCTACATTGGTAATGTAATTCAACTCTAATGGTATGGTTCATATAACAACCTGAGACAACCGATTAAACAACAATGAGAGGCTGTATCTGAGGGATACAATACTCCAACTCTAATGGTAAAGGTTCCTACAGCAACATCAGGAAATCAACAAAACATCAACAAGAAGAAGCTCTACCCAAGAAATGTAATCACACTGTATGGTGAGGTTTAAATGACATCATGAGACAATCAACATAACATCAAAAATGAGAAGCTCCACCTGAGGAATGTAGTCCTCCAACTCTAAGGGCAGTGAAACAGGCATCCTTTCGCTGGTTCTAGCCCAGGCACCAGCATTGAGAATCTTGATGTTGATGGCATCTGAAAATACCACACAATTCAGGTTAATGACTGCCTATGAGTTACCTGGGCGGAGCATCATCAATATACTGGTCCTTTACAGAACATCACTCTCATCTGCCTGATTTTACTGAAACTGTACCCTCCATCATTGCTCTCTTCAGACCACCACATAATATAGACAAAATCAGATCATGTAGAATGTCCACAGGCCCATGAAGAAAACAAAATGACCCTACTCTGCCAAATATCCTAAGTAACCTACTACTTCTTTCGTTCACTTGAAATAGATTATTTATATCTGCAATGTTGTCTCTAGTATATACCTCACTGTCTTTTGTCATTCACTCAGCGACCCGACGTTTGACTTGCACCGATGTTTGATGTAACCTACTGACACGTTACCTTTCTCTGCTTCCATTAATGGTACCCTGTAAGTAGCATTCAGGCAGTATTCTGATCTGTATATGTTGCTTATTTGATAGTAATACATTCGTGCATTTTCATTATGGTTATTGTCTCCCCTTGGAACTTGCTTCAAAATAATCTTCTGCCCTTTATCCCCCAATGGAGGAGCATAGGTCCTCAACCAACTCAAACTAAGTTATTCTATCTTTTGCTATAGCATGGAGTTCACCCAATGTGCTCCCCATCTTTCTAATTTCACTCTCTAGTTCACTTCTTTACGTATTTTTGGTCTGCCTTTATTTATCTGACCCAGTGGGTTCCAGCATAAAGATATTCTAATTATACTGTTCTTGTTTTTTATCCAGCACCCTGTTTTTTTCATTACCTTTTGATTCACTGCAATTCATTTAGTTATCTCCCACAGCTTTACATTAGTGATCTTATTATGAAATCTGGAAGTTAAATTCTTCAAAAGTCAGGCATTTGTACCAGTCACCAGCAATGGAGTTACTCAGCCACAGACAGAGAGATGGATATAATAGGAGTCCTTATGAATAGTCTCTACCAGCCATATAACATAAAAATACATATTACATGACACCAAATGTGAGAACAGTGGTAAGGACATTCACTGTAGCTGAAGAGCCACAAAAACTACCTCTACCTCCATTCTCACATTGAACACAGTGCAATAAATATTTTAATATAAGATTTTACTACTGCTGCTATTCTACATTTTTGAAACATATTAAAAAGTACAAAAATAATAAAGAAAAAAAAGCAAAATGTTAACTGTCACAATGCCTCTCTAATAAATGTGTGTGGAATGAAACATGACACCATAAATGATGTAAAAAAAACTTTTCAAGGAATGATCAGATAAGAATTATAGAAAATCAGCTGCACCTGTACACGAAATAAAATTCCAACCCCTTTGGGGAAAAACCATTAACTGTCAAAAACTTGATTGGTCTGCATTCCTAAGCTCACATCCTTTAGAAAAATTAAAAATCTATTGCACACACAAAAAAAACATGATAAGCCTGCCTATCCTAGGAAAATTGTCACTGATTTATTCTACAGATTCTTCTCTTCCTCACATTCACTTGGCTGTATATTACGGTGGAAAGCTCTGGCTGTTCGTCCATTTCTGGACTTTGGTCTGGTTCCAGAACCTCAATATTGTGTGAAGCACATCCGTTTTTACAGATCTTAAATATTTGTTTGCAGATTGTTAGTTCCTTGCCTCTCGGGCGGATGCACTTAACTTAAAAGGAAGCCCTCAATTAGTTGACTCTTACGACATGCTTGTTGGGGGGACAGTGGGTCTATTCTTGTTTTCTCCCAAATGGGGAATTCTGTAGATTATAATCATTGCTATTATACCTGCTATGCCTTCATTGTTGTTTCTGTGTGCCTCTTTGAATTCATAATTTAGATCTTCTGAGACTTTGATGTCCTGAAACATTCTCTGTAGTTTGTTGACAAAGTCTGCAGGCATACCTACATCCTGAAATGATATTACAAAATTAGTTATGGTAAACAGTCAAAGAGAAGAAAAGGCAGACCAAGAAAGACCTGGTTACAGAACCTGACTAACTGGACAGGCATGCAATCATGAAGTCCATCCCAACTGACCATCAAAGGTGGAGAGAGCTGATCAGGCAGTCAACAGAAACTGGTGACCCAAAGACACATAGTGTTATGGGATGATGATGATGAAGAAACGGTCAAAATGTGGCTGTATACAAAACATTCTAGACTTTTTTAACAGGCAACACAAAGTACATGCTGGACAGAAGATTCATTTTGAAAAATCAGACAGAACATCATGCAGAAGCATACCAGACATTGTCTTTACTAACATGTAGAATAGAACATCGTGTACACAGACACACAAAACATAACATTTTGTACACACGAGGGAGCGAGATGGGAGGGACACAAATTACACATACACGCATACACACACAATATTACACAACACATGGGATAAAAACTGTGTACACACTGCATACCTGTTGTTAGTTACTTTTGTCTTTGGAGCATTTGCTGCCTGCCTGTAGAAGTAGTTTACCACTGCCTTGAGTGTCCAATGCTCAATACAATTGTCTATATCAAAGCAAAGTATTCTTCTGCCATACTGCTTGCATTTAAATCAAACCAATTATTATGAAACTATAAAACTGTGTTTGTAACCTCTTAGCCAGCAACTGCGTACACAGTTTCAAAAAAAAATATTCTCTATACTTACCCTGAGCCACTCAACCATGTTCTCCTCCTTCTCATTGTCTGCGGAAGAGTCAAGGATCAGTCGGCGGGTGAGATGGGCCTTGTGGTAGCGCATGAAGACATCTTTGTTTTGGACATACTTCAGCACCAGCAGCTGGAACAACACAGACAGGTTTTGTGAGCTTGATTATAGATAACATGTTAGGGGTAGGAAGGGGGTAACAGTGTGAGAGCAAGAACAGGCTTTGTGAATATGTGTAGAGATAGCAGAAACATGTTAGGGATAGGAAGGGAGTAACAGTGTGAGAGCAAGAACAGGCCTTGTGAATATGTGTAGAGATCACAGACACAGGAGGCTTCTGAATGTAAGTCGTTTGTGTCAGAGCAAGGACAATTCCTGTAAGCTTGTTTAAAGATTTCTCTCCTATTCTCGGGGGTGGGGGAAGGGGGTTTTGTAATAAGTATGCTAGTGAGTTATTATTGGAGAATAATGACAACAAAACTGTCTGTGAGACTGGGTAAATACAAATACAAAATGAGTAACAAAGACATTTTTAAAAAATGCAAATAAATAGTTGTTTAAAAAAAAATAGACACACACTCACAAGAAAGAAAGAAAGAAAGAAAGACAGAAAGACAGACTAACAGAAAGATAAACAAAGTTTTGAGCAAGAGTGCGAAAACATAAGGATGCATTGGTTGTTAAATGTCATACATACAACAAAAATTTTTAATGACAATAGAAATGACATAAGGTAAGCCTAAAAGGCTGAGACATAGAACAGAATGCGGATTTAAAAAATCAAGAAAAAATTGAATGCCTTACAACATTTTTGAGTTTCTTGTCGACCTCTTCTGGAGTAAGCCGCTTGCTGACAGTGGTCTTCCGCAGCAACATATCACAGAAATTGGCCAGCAGCTCTGGGCATTTTGATTCTGGCTGAGATTTGGCACTCACCCTGGTTTAAAATAGAAAGGTGCGGGTGAGTGAATGTTTAAGTAAGGTCAGAAAAGTGCAAAATGGAAAAATGAAATGAAGTGTGGAAAGCAAAGTAAAGCAAGGTATGGTAAGAAAATGAAGGTATTGGTATGGTAAATTGAGCTGTCAAGGTATGGTGAATTGAGCTGCAAAGGTATGGTGAATTGAGCTGCAAAGGTATGGTGAATTGAGTTGCAAAGGTTTGGTGAATTGAGCCTGCAAAGGTATGGTGAATTGAGCTGCAAAGGTATGATAAATTGAGCTGCAAAGGTATGATGAATTGAGTTGCAAAGATATGGGGAATTTAGCTGCAGAGGTGTGGTGAACTGAGCTGAGGTGAAGAAAAGTAAAATACAGGAAATTAAGTAAATTGAAATAATGTAAAGCAGGGTGGAGTGAGATCAATTAACTATTTGACCCGGCCATTCCATTAATCTGGCATTGTCGCCCATTACAAATCCCTTTAAATGGCGCAAAACTAGCATTTTGCCCCCTTGGCCTGTCCCTGAGAATAGTTCATGGCATTGGTTCTGTTCGCACCTGTGCAGTGTTCAGGAAGCCCGTTTATAAAACTTCTGGTTGTTCATCAACTTTTGGGTTCTGATCTTACGCCAGAACTTCAGTTTTGTGTGTAAACCCACTTTACAGATCTGGCTTGTTTGTATGCAGACTGTTGGTCTCTCATATTGCAGACAGATGCTCTGTGACCTCAAATAAAATATCCCCTAATTAATCAACTTTTACAACATGCTTGTGTGTGGGGGGGGGGGGGTGTATGTTCTGTTTCCCTTTGAACTGAGGCTCCAGAACGGACACTGGGAGAAATTTTACCTAAAATAGTTCCAGGGAATCTTTTTCTTCTCCCTTTTTACCGGTTATAAACTCCAGCTGAATGTTCTGGTTGTTCGTCCACCTCTGTTCCAGACAGAAACTGAGTGTTGCGTGTACATCCGTTTCGCTGTCTTACTCATCTGCATGCAGATTGTTGGTTCTTTGCCTCTCAGGCAGATGTACTCCAACTTTGAAAAAAAGGGGCCCTGAAGAACAAACCCACTGCCTACCTAAAAGCATGCTGTAGAAGTTGACTAATTGGGAGCTTCCTTCAAAGTCTGAGTGCATCTGCCTGAGAGGTAAGGAACCAACAGTCTGCATACAAATTTGTCAGATCAGTCCAACGGATGCACACGCAACCCTCAAGTTCTGAAACTGGACTGCAGTCCAGAATTGAACAAACAGAACTTTCCACCAGAGTTACAGCTGGTGAATGCGAAGAAAAAGAAGAAATAAAATATACAAATTGCCACTGAACTAAATGTCAATAAACTGAACAATAAATGTCATAAACAGAAAACTCAAAGTACATACCCTTTGTTCTTTATAGGAATCTCTAATTTAAACACTGAAATGTCATTTACAACTGTCTTATATGCCTGAAATAAAAGACAAGGGTTATACAGTTAGATATTTGATGCTGTTGCTTTTATAATTATGGGAATATTTAGCTTAACCCTACCAGACCTGAGGCCCTGAACCTAACTGCCCCCTATACCTGAGCTCCTGGGCATTAATGCGAAAAAATCAACATGATATACAAAAATAATTACGTGCAAACAAGTTGTTAGAATAAGTTGAAACTTGGAGAAATTGTAGAAAATAGGTTAACTTTTCATCTAGCGCCAATCTTCCACCTTTGTGTACCAATCCACCCAGCAGTATCAACATTGTTTCACAAAGTGAGCACCAGATATTGCTGTTTCTTTCTCCTTTCTCCTACTATCGATCTATTTCTAGATTTATAATTTTCAAGATTCTCCTCATTATTCGAGCTCTCTCACTTCAACTGTGAACGTATTCTTCATGAAATTATGACTCCGCACAGTCTGAATAAACCAAACTATTGATCACCTGTTGAACTGTGAAAAGCCTAGACCTACTTCACTTTCCTGTCGAAGTGCCTGGTACATCAGCCGTTCGTTTTATGGTGAATTTTCAGAATTTTTTCACGTAAAACACACATATTTAATCCAAACACATGCAGGCGGACATCTAGGAAGACTACCCACGAGGTCTAATGACGACTGGCTAGTTATTTTTAGTCTGTGATGCATCTTTTTCACACACTACGCAAATAGCCTAAAATTAGGGACAGCGGTATAGCATTAGGTTAAGAAATTCCTGAAAAATCGGGTCAGTGGTCTGGTAGGGTTAATGGATTGTTTACAACTGTGTGATAAATCTGTCTTATAATGCTTATGGTGATGGTAATGTTATTTATGGCAATTTTTTGACTTTACAATAGTAGATATTTACAACTGTCTTAGAAATCTTTCATAATAAAGATCTTCTTCTTCTTCTTTTGTCAAACTCTGCTTGTGCCGCTAGGCGTCGCAGTCTATCAGATGATCGGCATCCGAGCCAGGGTGCGCTCAGTCGCTTCATATGCCGTGATGTTATGAAGTCTCAAGTTGTCCGTGACTCCTGCAATCCATCTTCTTCTTCTTGGTCTTCCCCTGCCTCTTGGTGTTTCGATTTTCATGTTGTATGCTCTTGATGCTGGCATCGTTGGTTCCATTCTCATTAGGTGACCAAACCATTTCATTCTTTGCTTCTCAATAAATTTAACGATGGGTATGGTTCCAATAGTTCTTGTAATCACATCATTTCTCACTCGATCTCTTCTGGTTTTATTCGCAGCCATTCTCAAACATCTCATTTCACAGGTGGTTAGTCTTCTCTCATGTTCTTTTGTTAATGTCCAAGTCTGACATTGATAACCTAATGTCGGTATAAAGATTGTATTTATAATTTGTCTTTTTATCTCAGCTGGGACAGCAGGCTGGTATGCGACATTGTTGGCTTGTTGGATTCTTGCTTCGATCTCTCTCTAATAAAGATCTGCTTCTTCTCATTTCCCAGCTGTAAACTGTGGAGAAAACCCTTGGTTTTTTTTGTCCGCTTCTGGACATCGGCAGTCTTGTTCCCAAACTTGAGTGCTGCATACATATCGCTGTACAGATCAGGCTTACTTGTGTGCAGACTGTTGGTCTCCCCCCCCCCCCCAGGCAGATGTATTCTGACTTTGAAGCAAATGCCAATCCTTTCTATAATGACCAAGCACCCAGAAGGGAACCTGTTTGCACATTCCACGAAGAGGTATAGATAAATCTTGAAGACTAGAAACCCCAGTCCTGGTGCACCACTAAGTGTGGTTGAGTACCTCAGCATCCAATAATAAATGGATAAAATAATAGTACTTATTGCAATCTTCAACCACTGAAATCATATTTACAACTGTCTTATAAACATATCCTTTATAATATTTATGACAATAATTATGATCAAAGAGGTGATGATGATAGTTTTAATGCTTATGCTGTAGTAGTGATAATGATCATGGTAGTGACTAAGATGATGATAATTATAATAATGATGATGCTGATGATCATGGGGGTGATACATCCCATGAAACCAAAAAAGTTACACACCTTGTCCCGTGAAGTAAGAAATCGTGGATCATCATTGAAGGCCTCAGATACTAAGCGGCTAAATCTAGTAAACAGTTCCAACAGTTGCTCTACATATTTCTCAGAGTCCTACACACGGGAAGAAGAACAAACAATAGACATTAGTAACAAATAATTAATGCTAAACGTAGTCCCATAGCACACACTGGTGTTAGGGTGTGAAGTAAAGGACCTTAATGTAAAGACAGAACATGCCAGATAGTTAGTTAGTCTTTCCTCTTGAGTTAGGGCAAAGGTCATAGCTCCCATGTCTGGATGTTCATCTGGCCCAAGGTTGTGTCTTTCCTGATGATGGTTTTATGCAGGGTCTCTCTTAGTCTTCCCCATTTTATTTTTTCTTCTGGTGTCCATAAGAGTACTTGAAACGGGAGTCTGGTCTGATCCATGACAGGGTGATCAGTTACGTGCTTACTGTCTTTCCTTCCAAAACATTTCTCAGAAAATACTAAAAATTGCCTTGTAATCACTGTTACGAAGTTGAATTTACATTTGTAGTGTCTACTGTGTTGTGCTGGTTGTGGTATGGTGAAGTGACAAGTTGTGCTGGTTGTGGTATGATGAAGTGACAAGTTGTGCTGGTTGTGGTATGGTGAAGTGACAAGTTGTGCTGGTTGTGGTATGGTGAAGTGACAAGTTGTGCTGGTTGTGGTATGATGAAGTGACAAGTTGTGCTGGTTGTGGTATGGTGAAGTGACAAGTTGTGCTGGTTGTGGTATGGTGAAGTGACTAGTTGTGCTGGTTGTGGTATGGTGAAGTGACTAGTTGTGCTGGTTGTGGTATGGTGAAGTGACTAGTTGTGCTGGTTGTGGTATGGTGAAGTGACAAGTTGTGCTGGTTGTGGTATGATGAAGTGACAAGTTGTGCTGGTTGTGGTATGATGAAGTGACAAGTTGTGCTGGTTGTGGTATGGTGAAGTGACAAGTTGTGCTGGTTGTGGTATGATGAAGTGACAAGTTGTGCTGGTTGTGGTATGGTGAAGTGACAAGTTGTGCTGGTTGTGGTATGATGAAGTGACAAGTTGTGCTGGTTGTGGTATGGTGAAGTGACAAGTTGTGCTGGTTGTGGTATGATGAAGTGACAAGTTGTGCTGGTTGTGGTATGGTGAAGTGACAAGTTGTGCTGGTTGTGGTATGGTGAAGTGACAAGTTGTGCTGGTTGTGGTATGGTGAAGTGACAAGTTGTGCTTCTCATATGGACTGATATTTTTTAAATGCTATTCTCAGTTTCTGAGACATCACGGGCCAGCGTATTTAATACTGCAAAACACAACACCATTGGAAAGATGCCAAACATCAGGATTCATTGTTAGATCTAGTACAATGAAGCACTTCCCCTCTAAAATACAAAAAGCATTTGCCTTGTTCCCGCTTCCAAACTCACCACTAACAGAGGCGGGTATCCTGTCCTCTACCCACAAAATGCCATCTACCACGGTAAAGTCAAGACACAGGAAACCAGCGAGGAACTTACAGATGTGATGGTTTCAGCTGCTGACATCATATCTGCCAGACCCTGGCTGACTATATGGGCTTCTAAATCTTGCAGCATGGGCTGTATACCATCCGGCACTCTATCCATCAAACTGAACATTAGACGTAATTCTGCAAGGATATTTAAAGGCAATTCACAGTACTGGTATTTTTTAAATAAGTTAACGGTTCTTCTCTTTTTCTGTGTCAGTTGGCATGCTGTGTTGCAATTTACAGGTCTGCTGGGATATCTTTACAGGTTTGCTGCGATATCTTTACAGATTTGCTGGGATATCTTTACAGGTTTGCTGGGATATCTTTACAGGTTTGCTGGGATATCGGCACCTTCTGGCCCAAAACATCAGTTTTCAGAAGGAAAAAAAAACACCTAATTAGCCACCTTTAAAGATATGCTTGCTAGGGGTACAGGAAATGATAGACACTGTGGTGTTAGAAACTGGAAGAATGGGCCTCAGTTTGAATAATGGGAAGACAGAAGTAATTGTGGTATCAAAGAAACAAATTATTCCTAAATGTGTAATAAAAGTCGGTGGTGTTATTTTAGGACAAGTACAGAAATTTAAGTATCTGGGCACATGGATAACATCAGATGGAAGATGCATAACTGAAATAAGAAACAGAATAGGACAGACAAAAACTGCATTTTATAAAATGAAGAATATCTTGTGCAATATATCCTTGTCATTGAGAGTTAGAAAAAGAATTCTTGCTTGCTACATACATCCAGTTTTAACATATGGCTGTGAATCCGGGATAATCGGTAGGCAGGCCAAACAATTTCTTGAGGCCTCAGAGATGTGGTTTTAGAGAAGAATGCTTAGAATACCTTAAACAGCCAAAAAAAGAGCAACCAAGAGGTTCTGAAAGAGGTGGGAGCCCGAAGATAACTTATCACAGACAGAAGGAGACATCATTTTTCGGCCATGTTATGAGAAGAGGGAAAATGGAACATGTTGTGACCACTGGAAAGACCTGTGGAGGGAGGGATAGAGAAAGACAACGAGAGAAGATTCTTGAAGTCTTGTTGCATGGCATGGAGGTGTGTCGGCACACAAACTCATACATGCTGCAGGAGATCATGGATCATAGAGAGGCATGATCGCCCACGCCAGTTGGCAAGGCACCTGATGATGATGATGATTGCTAGGGGACAGTGAGTCCATTGATTTCTCCCAAAACGGGGCCCAGGAACCCACACAGGAAGTTAAACTCTAATATGCAAATTTTCTTTATTCCTCTTCTGTAGACAGTATCATCTGGTTATCTATCTCTGGACTATTGTTTTAGAAACAGTGTTGCGAGCACATCCATTTTATAGAACTGACTTATTTGTATGCAGACTGTTGTTCCTTGCCTCTCAGGTAGATGCACTTTGACTTCAAAGATAGCCACCAATGAGTTGACTCCTATGACATGCTCTGTGGTGCCCCAGAGTGTCAATTCTTGTTTTCCCCATAACAGAGCCCCAGAATTCACTGATACATACTTAATTTCTGTTGACAAAAAAAAAAAGTTTTCTTGTACATGCAAACTAAAAACTTACTTTCTGTTTCATTATTTTTAATCATGTTTGCACATTCTGCGAGGATAGTGTCTTTGAAACTTGTCACCAAGGCTCTGACGCAGCAGTCAACAAGCTGAAACAGGTCAAATATGGGAGAATGTGTATCATAAAGTGTCAACATAACATAAAGGCTGTATATCATAAAGGACCAATATAACATAAATACTGTATATCATAAAGCACCAACATAACAAAAAGACGGCATATCATAAAGCGTAAACACAACATAAAGACTATATCATAAAGCATCAACATAACATAAAGACTTCAACAACAAAAAACCATTTTGCACAGACACACACACACTTCACAACAAAAACAGCTATACACATAGTCTTGATACAGTTATGACATTTGTGAGAACCTGGTGATGAGTGTCAATCCCTACTCTAATTAGACTATACTAATATCAAGTCAAAACAACTGGCTGTAGCCAAACAAAAACACAATGCAGGAAGCCAGCGAAGAATAAGAAACCATCACACAACGAGTGCCGTCAGCCGCTACACACTGTGGGATTTACTAAGGAGGGATCCGAGCACTTAACCCTTTCGCTGCTATGGACGAGATAACTCGTCTACCCGGTAGACTGCTAAGGACGAGTTAACTCGTCTTCCATTTTCTGTGCCCTCAGTGCTAAGGATGAGATAGCTCGTCCTCGACTTTTCTTACAGACTGCTAAGGACAGTAATTCTTGGGGGTGAAATGGAAATATACATTACCTAAATCTGATCAAACTGACCCATTTACATACAATTAAAACCCTTATCACGTGCGTTTAGCCATATTTAGATGCATTTCACGCTATCCTGTTGCTTTGTTACCATAGAAGCATGATCGGTGAACGGTAATTTTTTTGCCCTAAAATATGTTTCTGGTTTTGCGTTAGTCTACTTTTTTTTTAAAAACACAAAATAACAAGAAAATTGGTTAATTATAGTTAATGAAGAATTATTGGAGTTTATTTCGAGGAGTAATAGTAAGGATAACTTTGAAACGTGTGAGTTATATGAGCTGGGTGGGCTATCTTCGCTGCACGCCGTCGGACACGTGTACTTCTAGCCGTGAGCAAGACTGACCATATGACCCAGCTATCTACATTGACTGGATTTGAAATGAATCACCAATAATCAAAATGAAGATATGGTCACGTGCTGACATGATAATTAATACTAATGTTTCTAATACTGACAAAACTGTGTCTGTCTATCAAAGTGTACAATACTAGTCCTATTTTCGGTACCAATTTACATATAAATTTCTAGCGCAGTTGGTATCACGCTTGCCTTGCAATCGAAGGGTACGCGTTCAATTCCTGCATGCCGTATTTTTTTTTTTTTCAATTATTATAATTTTAAATGTAAATTCTAAATTTAAGCTCTTAGCTCTTTCGGCAACAGATCACAGAAGTATAAATTAATTAAACATCATGTCACGTGCATTTAGATGTGTTACACGTTATCCTGTTGCTTTGTGAAGAATGGTTGGTATACTGTTCATTTGTGTGGAAAAACACTCCTGTTGCCCAATTTCACTTAATGTTAGTAAGAGAAAGTCTACAGAAATATTGCAAGGAAAAGAGGACAAATGTAGGAGGACAAAAAAGTGATGATCAGCCACTTCATTTAGTACAAAGGAATTACCCTTAAAAAATAGAGTCTGTAACATCACAGAAGAAATTCCCAACAAGAAAGTGTGTGGTATGTGCAGAAAGCAAAAAACGACGGGAAACCCAGATACATGTTCAAAGACTGTGATTTGGCATTGTGTGTCGCACCTTGTTTTGAAATATTTCACACAAAAAGATATTAATAATAATTTAAAAAAACATGTATTTGCTTACAAAGTGTTTTGTGTTTGCTTTGTAAGTTTGTAATATTTCTTTTTGTTAATGAGTTTTTATGGCGTAGCCCAAGCGCCCGACTTGTCAGCGCAAAAGGTCAACCATGCGCTTCAAAAGAGTTTTTATTTTAGGTGTACAATTTGTACCCCGCGCCGCAAGAGCGTCTTCTGCTTTTGGAGGCGAGAAAGGTATTCAGCACAGGAGGAAAGATTAGCTCTCGCCTGGCTCAGCACAGTGGTTACGTTGGCCTGCGTTGGGCGCAGCAGCGAAAGGGTTAAGGATCGATGTGCAATGAAGATAATCTGTTGTCTAACTAACTGAGTGTCTTGTGCACACACAATATCCCAGACACGACCCTGTACATACACAACACTGATCATACAGTCTCATACACAGTCTTGTAATGTAGTCCTGTACATAAAAAGTTTGCAAACGTACAAGCTTGTACATACAGATGCATATATATATATGTAGTCTTATGTGTATGCAGTGCTAGACTCAAGCAGGTGTATAGACAGACAATTCTATACATATAAAATCTCCGTCCTTAACCAGTGGTTATAACAGAAAACAAATATAAGTGATACACAAAAAACATGTTTACCAGTCTTTTTCAACATGAAAAACTGACCAAGAAGTGCAGCACAATCTATAGGTACGCCCCCAGACTTTCCTCACATACAACACTGATTAAAAAAATTACAGCACAAGCTTTAGGTATACAAAAACACCACCAATCAATAAATACAGAACAATCTTTAGGTACACGCCACCATATTTTTCTTACATACATTACTAATCAACTAATATAGTAACATCTTCAACTGAGCCTCGATACTTACACAATTGACTGAATTACACCCATAACCAGTCTCTAGATATCGTTTAGCCCTGGCTTCTTCCTCCTTTAACTTGTTATCAGCATAACGCATGTAGTTCTGTACACCATTCTGTTCTAGGTAATTGGGAGCGTTTTGTTTGTAGAAGTTTTCAGCTGCCTCCAGGTATGCCTTTTCAAAATTCTCACAGTAAATTTTCAGTTTGTCTTCGGTGTCTGAGCTCAGGTTCACTGTTGTAATGAAGAGAAATGTGTAAAAAAAATAAATAGGAGTGAAGAGAATTTTGACAGCGCAGGTCATCTAGCGCTTTAAGTAAAAGCCCTTCAGAAGCTACTAGCAAGTTCAGAGGATCAACTTCACTGCACTGGGTTGTATCCCACTTGGACTTAGTCTCTCTGCAGAATGGCAAGCCGCTGCCTGTCGACAGCAGAGCACAAACTATGAACTCTGTAGTTCCAGCAATTATCACCAGGGAGCTACACCCACAAAATCACCAATGCAGTCTATAAAACAAATTAGCGACCTCTATAGCATGAGGTAGACAATCTTAACCATTAGATGTATAGACAGCTAAGTTTGCATTTGACCATGATGCACATTTTGTTGATGTTTGTGTGCACAATCCCCCTGACAATGAAATCTGTTGAGAAAACATGATCAACTGGAACCTTACTCCTGCCAGTCTGTACTTAGTGTGCTAAACACAAGCTGGTCGCATCTTAATATGCCTTTTTAAAGACAAATGTAAAGTTTTGGTACCAATCTTATACATTCTGTTGATTTCTTGAGCTTGGAGAGGGGAAGAAATGCTTGATGATATTTTGGTACAAGCCCAGGAGAAAAGATTTGACAATAACCTCACTCTAAAGCTGCACAAACTCTCCAGCATACCTCCATAGAAACAAATGAAAACTTCAGATATTATTCCAAAATGTCATACCTCCATAGAAACAAATGAAAACTTCAGATATAATTCCAAAATGTCATACCTCCATAGAAACAAATGAAAACTTCAGATATAATTCCAAAATTTCTTACCTTCATAGAAACAACTGAAAACTTCAGATATAATATCAAAATTTAAACAAGGAATTTAGCACTGCCAGGTTAAGGTTTTTACCTGAGCTGCTCTGCAAAAACCAAGGATCTTCTCAGAGCTTCATACTTACTTACTCAGCCGCTCCTATTCTACATTGGGGTATAGAGCTTTGCCAGAGAGACTGCCAGACTTCTCAGGTCATCACTCAACCAAATTAACAGGACTTTACAGGTTACTTTGTAACCATCAGCTGCCCCAACATAATGGTGTTACATGGCTGAACAGGTTTCTGGGATTTGTACATGGGAGATTCTCATCACAACAGTGGCTCTTTGAGTCACAGTGTTAATCACTGAGTATAGTCATAGAGGGTTCAACTTCACTTATTCATCCAGGGCTTCATGGTCAGGAGAGCAAAAGGAGAAAAATACAGAAGACTAAAAGGAAGTATACTCGTAATTCCAACGTACCGCGATCAAAACCCACTGCTGGATTTTTACCATGGTATAGGGCGTCGCAGGTCGACCCAGCCTAAAGGATTCTTGTCCTGAAGAAGTAAAGATGGCCGTTCTAATGCTGACCACATTACCCACCTAGTGCCGATTGGTCTTTAAAATATGGGTGCTTTTCCCATATGCCTGATGCGCCTAAAGATGTGAAAAGGAATCTTTACTTATTGGGTATACAGGGCTAGACCCATATTTTATAGACCATTCAGCACTCGATGAGCAATTTGGTAAACATCATACTGGCTGCTTTACATTCCAGGACTTTACCTGGTACCCATTTAAGACTGGATCAACATGGGAGCCAAGGTCCTTTTGAAAAAAGTCTGGTTGCGTCTGAATCTAAACCCATGAACTTTGGATCTGCAAGCCAGCATCTAGCTGCTACATCCTGGCGGTTTCCTCATAAAGAACGACACACAAAAACAATACACAAAGATACTAACCATATGACTCACGAACACCAATGACAAGCTGTGTATCGAAAGCTTCCCCGTGTCTCTCGGCATGGACCAACTTCATGGCACTGTACTGTAGTTTATCCTTGATGTTGGAAAAGATACTTGAGTTCCAGCTGTCTAACATCAACTGAAACAAGCAACGGTTTCTATAAAATCAACTTGATTCTTTGGAAAGAACTCAGGGATTAGAAAATAAGATTCAAACAAACATAAGTGCAGTGGAACCCCAGTTCTCAAACTTAATTCATTTCTAAAAGTTATTCAGAAACAGAGATGTTTAAAAAAAACCACACACACAAACATGTTTCCTAACAGGAATTAGCGTAAAACTGATTAATTAAGATGACAGCTTAAATTCATGAACCACTGCAGTAATGCTCCATGCAGTACTGAATGTAGATGACATTTTATTAAAAGAAACGCACATCTTTAAAAGGGTGGTTCATATGTTTTGTGTTTTACAGCTATACTGTGATGTCTGTGTCTTTTGGCCCAACACAGCAAACCCCAAATCAGTAGCCTTTTACAACAAGTTTTGTTAAGGAGGAGTGAGTCTATCCCTCCTCCCCCCCCCCCCCCCAAACTGGGCCCCAGAACCCACACAGGAACACTTGGTAACAACTTGAATATGGTTAGACTACACAATGGCAACACTTTCTTGCATCTCTGCAGAATGTGGTACATCCACAGATCCAGACTAAGCCCACACACTGACAAACATCTTCTTGCATCTCTACAGTGTGGTATAGCCACAGATCCAGACAAGGTCCACACATTGACCAACATCATCTTGCATAAAAAACTGAGTGTTGCGTGTGCATCCGTCTGACAGATCTGACTCAAATGTTGTTGGTTCCTTGCCTCTCATGCAGATGCACTCCGACTTTGAAGAAAGCTCCCAATTAGTCGACTCTTTTGGATAGGTAGTGGGTCTATTCTTGTTTTCCCTATTACAGAGCCCCAGAATCCACATGGGAACCAATGCATATTCAATGTCTTGTACTCATCACAGATCTGTCCCTGCCATAATTTCTAGAAAATTTACCTTCAATCCCTGTTCTCTCCCGGCCACCATGACATTTAATGTGGCCACAACACCTCAGCTTTTGGGACAGAATGCTGTTTATAAGCAAATTCTCCTCGGTGTTCAGATCATGCAGGATGTCACAGCTCTGACTGCACTACCAAGTTTATGCCCATCTGCAAATGTTCCAGTAGCAGTCCTGTTTCTGGACTTGGATAGTGAAAGGAAAGCTCCGCATCACTGTCCCCATGAAGATGGCACCTCAGAAAGAAATTATCCAAATCGACCTACCTCAGACTTAGCCGGACAATAAAGACATGAAGATGTCAAATATGTCGCTCAAAAAGCACAAATGTTGCAGTCATGCTGTAAATGAGCATAGCACAATTACATCCTCAGACGGACACAGAAGAACCTCATTGCCAAAGATACTGATTTCTCTCAAGGCTCATAAACCTCAGTATCAACACACTGACCTCTATTCATCTCTGGCACTAGACTACAAACTAACCAAAAAGCCATGTAAAGTAAGGAAATCTGTATCATAGTACCTGTGTTGGTGGCAGCACTTCAAAATCAGATAAGGAAGCAAGCTTCTACATCTAAAGGTTCACATGACCTCAGTATAAACACACCAAGCGCCAGCTCTTCCACAGGATTACAAACCAATCAACTTTATAGGGAAAGGAGAGCCCTCCAACTAACTCTATGATCAGATCAGGAAGGACAGCCAGTACCTTCCCCAGAAAGTTGCATGCATAAACTTTTCAAGGCTCATAAAACTTTAACGTCAACAATTTGAACATCATACCACACACCAAAAGAGGACGTTGAAAAGCACAAAGAAGACCAAGAATAAAATGAAAAGATCACATCTGAGACGCTCTACAACAGCACTATGTGTCTATGGTTGAAGTGTTACATTACTACAGGATTACAAACCAAACAGTGACTGCTTCTATAACAAATGTATTTTAACTCTAAACGGTCTACAGCTGTAACTACTAACCTTTCTGACCAAACTTTCATCAGGGGACTGAGTCTTTTTAGGCATGCTGCTGTGTAACTTCCCCATGAGGTTTGCTTCCAGTTGGGTGAATGGCTTAGGCAGGTAGTTGCACTGTGTGAAAAACTTGCCCCATTCTGCTATGTAAGCACGCAGCAATGCAGACTCCTCCTTGTGCTGTAGAACTCTCTGAATGAAATACATTTTTATATAAGTCATATGGCCGCAGGTAAAGGGAAAGGTAGAAGGCAAATATAAGAGAAAATAATGGAGACCTTATGGGGACAGCTAAAAAAATTCCATTAAACAGACATTATAGTCACAGAGAGAGAGAGAGAGAGAGAGAGAGAGAGAGAGAGAGAGAGAGAGAGAGAGAGAGAGAGAGAGAGAGAGAGAGAGAGAGAGAGAGAGAGAGAGAGAGAGAGAGAGAGAGAGAGAGAAAGAGAGAAAGAGAGAGAGAAAGAAAGAGACAGAGAGAATGAGAGAAACACAAATGAGGTGCGGGTGGGGATGTGTCAATATAAACTCCGACATAAAATCAGTACCGGTGAATAAAGTATAAACATGTAGAATCAATTACTAATAAACTTTAAAAATGTATTCAACAGTGCCTGTGTAAAATAGAAAGATTGGCAGAATCACAGACAGAAAGCTTATAGAGAGAACTAGAATCACAGACAGAAAGCTTATAGAGAGAACTAGAATCACTGACAGAAAGCTTATAGAGAGAACTAGAATCACTGACAGAAAGCTTATAGAGAGAACTAGAATCACTGACAGAAAGCTTATAGAGAGAACTAGAATCACCGACAGAAAGCTGACAGAGAGAACTAGAATCACCGACAGAAAGCTGACAGAGAGAACTAGAATCACCGACAGAAAGCTGATAGAGAGAACTAGAATCACCGACAGAAAGCTGATAGAGAGAACTAGAATCACCGACAGAAAGCTTATAGAGAGAACTAGAATCACTGACAGAAAGCTTATAGAGAGAACTAGAATCACTGACAGAAAGCTTATAGAGAGAACTAGAATCACTGACAGAAAGCTTATAGAGAGAACTAGAATCACCGACAGAAAGCTGATAGAGAGAACTAGAATCACCGACAGAAAGCTGATAGAGAGAACTAGAATCACCGACAGAAAGCTGATAGAGAGAACTAGAATCACCGACAGAAAGCTTATAGAGAGAACTAGAATCACTGACAGAAAGCTTATAGAGAGAACTAGAATCACTGACAGAAAGCTTATAGAGAGAACTAGAATCACTGACAGAAAGCTTATAGAGAGAACTAGAATCACTGACAGAAAGCTTATAGAGAGAACTAGAATCACTGTCGGAAAGACAGAACTAGAATCACTGACAGAAAGCTTATAGAGAGAACTAGAATCACTGTCGGAAAGACAGAACTAGAATCACTGACAGAAAGCTTATAGAGAGAACTAGAATCACTGTCGGAAAGCTTATAGAGAAAACTACACAAATTCCAGCAAATCAAGACCTGAAGAAAAGACACTGGCACTGGATAGGAAACTCATTCAAAAAAAAAACCTGTTTATATTTAACTGAATAATAATTTCTCTAGAACATGTGGCCAAAACAACAACATACACACACAAAGATTTTAAAATCTACACTAGCAAAAAAAAGAACAGGAATAACAAATACGGGAAGGACATGGAAGACATTACAGGAGTTGGCAAATGCTAGAAAGTCTTGTCACCGAGCCTATATATTCAATTTAACTGGAGATTTAATCAAGGAGAAGTAGGAAGAGAAGAGAAAATGAAAGAAGAAATATGAAGGAGAAAATTAAAAGTAGTCTTGTGCTAACATTCAACATTCTAGTAACAACATACACTTTGTGCTTGTTTGATGAAGTCTAGAATATCTTTCTGCAAGGCTTCATATATGTGGTTGGGTCCTTCTTTTTCATCCCACATACAGACTGAATGCACATACCTGTGGAATTTCAAAAAATATTTATAGGAGTGAATGGGTTTGTATGTGAATGGAGGAACGTGTGACTGACCAAGAGAGAAGGGAGGATTTGGGGGGAGGGGGGGGTCAGTCAGAAGATTTAGGACAGAGAGGTAAAAGATTTAACAAAAATTTTATTATTAAATATTTTTTTTTAAAGATGATACATAGAATGGAAAATTTATGCAATTTATGTGCATTATGAAAGATGGAAACAACAAATATACTTTTGATTATGGACTGAAAAAGTTACAATTATGGTAAATGTAACAACTATAGTAGGGAGCATATAGTAATCTGCTGAAAGCATTACATAGAAAGGGTGTAAATGGTCAAACTGTTGTGACTGACTGCCATCAATGTCAAATTACAATTCTGGTGGTAACTGTTGGTGTTGGCACATGTAGTGACTGTCTTTTGCAATCTGCTGTATGTGCATATTTCTGGATTTGCTGGACCAATAGTTACACAGGCCTCTATGATACAATAAAGTTTTGTTTAATTTTTCACTGGCACAAGAACAACTAATTGTTTGTTCACTAGTCTTCAATGGGACAATGGTGGTTCATAATATTTTCATTGGGACAAAAAGATAGCAAATGTGGAATGGCTCATTTGCAATGAGGTTGAAAACTCGAAAACTACTACAACTAGAAGGTAACATTACACAAAAACATGTTAAAAATCCAAAACATGTGTGTAGCAACCCCTTGAAAAGCAAAGCAGAACAAAACACACTGTTTAAAAACCCAAACAATAATAATCTGAAAAAGAGCAGTGAATAATTATGCTGTCATCCTGAAGTCAAGGAAAGAACAGGATCACTGTAACATACCATTCTCGTATCAAAAGGAGTGTATCTAACTACCTCAACTTGAAGACATCTTTAGTTGCAAAAGCCAACCAATCATAACCAGTTCTTCAAAAGGATTTATGGTTAAGGCTCTATGCTTCAGGAGGCAACAAAAAGGAGAAGAAAATAAGTACTGCAAAACATAAACTATTTTACTTATGTGGATACAAACAACACATTTACTGCCAGGGATATATCGTTGCATCTCATCAGATGCCTTACTACAGAGTTACATCTACATACAATGAAGGATTTAAAAAATGAATAAACTCAAACGAAATACAAAATGATCTCTTGTGATCCACTGTAGTCTAATTGCTGGAAGTTCATGATAGTCACATGACTTACAAAGGTAAAACTTCAAATTGACAGTTAAGTCCTGTTTACATAGAGAATTATAAATTTTTTTGTAAATACAAACTATTACCAAAACAGGTCCTGCCATTCTTGTCTGGGGACTGACTCTTGCCTGAGCAGTTTTAACACGGTGGGTCTCATAGATGGCCATTTTTCCTCAAATTTACACTGCCCCTGTTGCTAGACAAAATGTTTAGACAGAACAAATTACACAATAGCATCAACGAGCTATATACAAAATACATACTGATGAGATCTGTTCATAAAGTATTCAACCTGTGGCTGGGGAAAATGCAATTACTTGACTGGACATGAAACCCACATAATCTTTCAAGTACTTCATGACAGTCCATCCACACACTCTTTAAAACTGATAATGATTTACTTGGTCAAACAAACAAAATCACTCTAGTTCGTCCATGTTATCCTGACATGGCTACTTGTTATGTTTTAAGTGAAAGAGACCTGAACTGAGTCGAATAAGACAAATGGGAAGCTGAGCCATATTCCAATCACAAAGAGATCTTCTTGAAATGTCTCCCAACAAGGTATGACCTCTGGGAGAGACCTGGAAGGAGACTTCTTTGAAGGGAATTGGGGTTTCAAACCTCTATAAGTGTCTGTAATTTTCCTTGCGACAGGTGTCAGATATTTCTGAACACTTATAACTGAGAGATATGGAGAGAGAATACAAACAAAGACAGATAAGGTAGTGATGTAGCTGAGAGTTAGAGGCTGAGAGAGAGTGGAGAATTATGATAGAGAAAGAGAGTACACTTAGAGTAAGAGAAATAACTTTTTTCTTCTTCTTCTTAGTATTCAGTGGCTGTAAACTGCATCAGAAAGTTCTGGCTCTGCATCCCTTTCTGGACTTTGGTCTTGTTCCCCAGCTTGAGTTTTGTGTGCAGATCCGTTTTACTTATCTGGCTTATTTGCATGCGGACCTCAGTTACTCGCCTCTCTTAGAGATGCACACGAACCTCAAATAAAACATCCTTAAACAGTTGCCTCCTACAATGTACTAGGTAGTGGGTTCATCCCCCCCCCCCCCCCCCCCCCCCCCCCCCCCCCCCCCCCCCCCAATGGACTCCCAGAACCCACAGGAGAAAAAAGAAAGAAGTTTAAAATGTGAGTATGAAAAAAAAGAGAGGCACAGAAAGACAGCAGAGAAAGTGTCAGAGCAGGACAGAGACGGCTAAACAGACATAAGAACAGGGAGGGGCAGGAGAATTATAAATGCAAAATACTTAATGGTTTCACTGTAATCAAAACAGCCGATTTTAAAAGACCACCTATGTCACTGCACAGCAGAGTTAGCTAATGGTAGAGATAACAAACAGCTGAGTTGGCTAATGTCACAGACAGTTTATAGCTGAGTTGGGTGTCAATTACACCTGAGCTGGCTGTCCTGACACGTTACAGCCAAGTTGGTGAATGTCACTGACATGATACAGTTGAAATGGCTAATGACGTAAACAATATTATACAGCTGACTGCTGATCAACTCCATAGATAAGGAATTGTCAAATGGTGGCCCACGGACCATATGCAGTAATTTTTATTAAATGACCTCATTTAGTTTGCGTATTTGGCCCTCAGACCTTAGGTCTGACATGCTTTGCCGTCGATACAGTGACAAATAAACCCCCAAGATTTTCTGATAACAACTGTTCCCAGGAACTTAATGTTACAGCCCACACTTAAACAAATTTTCCCTAAATGGCATTTGGGGCCAATTCTGTGTGTGTGTGTGTGTGGAAAGGGGGAGTTTGGACCCACTGCCCTCTAACATGCATGTCATAAAAGGCAACTAATTAGAGATCTGCTGAAATTAGATGGGTTGAGCCAAAAGACAAAGATATCACTTTGAATGTGAATACAGAAGCAAAAGAACCAATTATATTCTGTGCCAGTCACAACTTGACCACTTCACCATGGAAACCCCTGTGATCTTTAATAATAACATCAGTGTACAATTGATTTCACAAATGCCATTTTAATAATTTTAAGATCTCAACCATTCCACTGACAGTGTACTGTATTTATTTTTTCACTGGACAATTTTAATTAATACTCCTGACTGTCACTCCATGGCTGACTGATAGCATTGACACTAGCTACATCTGGATATCTCAATATCACTGACAGTGTTCTTGCTGCTGTTCATCCCAACTGATCTGTCTTATATCTGACACTATTTTATCCCAATTGATTTATCTTATATAATTGACATTATTCCTTTGTAACTGACTAATAGGCTGTCCTGTCAACTACGGCCGGTAGACAACAGCCAGGGGACAGAACTCCGACTAACCGGCCGTCTGTAGTTGACAGGAGAGCCGACATATATCATTTCAGTAATATAGCATGTTCCAGTATCCTTCTCATAAAACAACTGTTATGAGTTATAATAACTGAGCCAAAAAATTATGACTCTCTGACTGTGTCTCTTTCTGGTGTTTGTGTTAAGTTGTCTTCTGGCCCTTGCCTATTTCAAAACATCTAGGTTGCTCTTCTTTTTGGCTGTCCAAGGAATTCTAAGGATTCTTCTGTAAAACCAAATCTCCGAGACCTCAAAAACTGTCGGATTTATTAACTGTCCAAGATTCAGCCATTTGTTAAAACTGGTCCAAAAAGTCTTTTCCTAATAACATAACTTAACCTGCTCCACTGTCCATATGCATAGCTAATTAAAACTATTAATTAAACAATGAATCTAAACTGGGTTTTGTTTCAAACGGTGTAAAACACGTGTACTACTAAACTCTTGATTTAAAGTAATTAAAAAAATAGATAATAATGAATAATGACGGTCCAGCTTTTAACAAAAATATCCACATTTTTACGACAGCTGATTTCTAGCTTCGTTAGAATGATTCGTGTTTAGTTACTTACTAAGACTTTTTGTGCAACCTGATTAATTCACAATGCCACTGTCTACGTCTAGTGTCTAACTACGGAAAACGTCAACATTACTGACATTGTTATGGTTGTACCACGTAAAATAAATATAACTCAAACTATAATGAATCTCAATTTTAATTCCGCACGGAGAACGACTGTCGCAGAAACCTGAACCATCAACATGACATTAGAGCACTCAAAGTGAAGTCAGAAGTCGGCCACCAACGTCAACATTTACTACAACCAAACACACGATCCCTACCACGGTCTTGTGCAGGTTTGAACTAATATTATTTTGTCTGTACTATCTTCACAACGTGTGTAATATAAACAAGATCGGAATAATAATACTATAAACAAAAATCACACTTGCCCCGAGCATAGTCATCTTTCCTTGTCTGCTCACATACAGGCCAGCGCTTTCTCCCTGCTGAATGTCGTTTCAATTATTCTATTAAATTTCTGTAAGAATGACAAAGGATTTAAAAATTCAAAATGTAGAGTATATTTTTATTAATTAAACATGCATAATTATATTATTTAACAATAAGCGGTGATTCGAAAAATGTGTTTATGTTGTTGCTAGTTTAATGGTAGACGCACTTTTTCGTGTTTTTATTGACATGGCTACCTGGCATAGGACTACTGATTATTTTCAGCAAAGTGAACCGGTGTACAATCAGATTTTGTGTCCGAAATCTGTTACCATCGAGGGCGGTAAGGCGTTGTGCCCTCATCTTCACCAACTTAATGTCTAATGTCTAGTCATCTTCTTTGGAAGCCCCACCCTGGCTCTTGCCAGGGGCCGCAATATAGCCCAGTCATAAATATGGTATAACGGCTGAACGCGGTTTCTGGGACCTCTCCACGGGTGATCCTCATCCACATAGTGGCACTTTGTGTCATCGGGTGTTTATCGCTTTTGTGATGTCCTAGTATGGTAAAATATACCACTACACCAACATAGGTGCTCCTAGATCAATCAAAAGTCAAGGGAAATGACACAGGAGGTATAGGTGACCAGGCTGATACAGAATATTTTTCCTCTTCTGCGGATGACCTTAAATGGGCAGTCATAACGTTTTTGGTGGTTTACAGCAAGGCTGCGAAACCTGCGACTTTCATTCCACTATATCCGATTACAAGAAACCCATAATTAGTCACCTGTTACGACAATTGTTGTTATGGGGATCAGTCTACCTATTCTCTCTTCCTCCAAAAATGGGACCCAGGAAACGGTACGGGGAACTGCTAATTATAATACGTCAGTCGTGGAGTGCCAATCTATACTATAACTCACAAACCATTTCTGTATTTTGTGTTTTCATTAAGAGGACTGTCAACATACTGAATTGTAACCTAGAGTCACGGCCCGTGTCTCTGCGCTAAGTTGCCGGTAGCAATAACCATGTGAAGATCTAGTCTAGAAGGTTCCTGCCACTCCAGTTCGGGGCCAGCTCCAACACCCTGTTTAAAAAAAAATATCTATAAAAAAATATGGACCTTTTATCACGTGCTCAGTTCGACTTGTGGAATAGAAATGGGCGTGCTGCATCGCTGTAGAGTAGCCAGCCAGAAAGTCTTGCGTTTGAATGTGAATCCAGACGGGTTTCTTTATAATGACATTGACATCACTTCAGATTTCTCTGCTAGCTGGCATACTTTTTTTTTTTTTTTTTTTCTGGTGATGTCAGTGTCAGGAAACACAAGGTAGATAGACTGGTTAATTCTGTACCATTTGGTGGTGAATTGATGCATGGCAAGCTAAATGTTGAAAATGGCCCTTTGAAAGCTAGTGAACAGAGCGGAGGCACAATTAGATCATTGCGGTCTGCGGAGAATCTGGTCGACGCTCAACACTCAAGGGAAGGACGAGACGGATAGACAATCAAACTGTTACTATTGTCCTTGGAATTGAAGCTTGATGTGGCTCGTTAAGTACATTAACATTAGCTGAACTTGGTACCCACAAGAGAAGGAAAGGAATTTTAGATGTCTATAGCATTATAATTAATGAATTATTAGACAGGGCAAATGATTCCTCCGTCTTCTACCTTCTCCCGGTGTTAATATGAATAATTAAAGAATTATTAGCATATTAATTGAGCCCCCACCAAATGTTATTCTATCTTAACAGTTTAGTTAAATGTGTAAGAACAGACACATTTGGAATTACAAAAACTGATGCAGGATAAGACCATATATTTGATTTATTAACCTAGCAATCAGAGTATGACATTAGTCCTCATTATTGTTATAATAGATAGTGATGGTATGGTGATAATGAGAGGCTTCAGCTTGATAACTGAGCACCTAAGATTATAGTGAATGGATAATGGTGGTGATAGGTTTACATCCATAAAACATGAGACGTAACTTTATTATCATTAAACCTCTGACAGCCGTGGGTACTGTCAAGTTCTTCCACCTTTTCCTCCCAGTTCTCCTGGTCCTCCACCTCGGTCCCTGCTCGTCCCCACCTCGTTCTCCACCTCGTTCCCAGCTGGCCGAGTCTAACACAATGTAGTCTCCTTCATGGACTGATCGTCACATGGGCGCTGTAATCATGGAAACAAAACACATACGTGTAGTATCTTGACTTACACTAAGAATACATGTAACAATTATTGTAACATATAATAATAAAATATATCCCATCACTCCTCACCATATTCAACATTCTCTCCAGTCTAGTCTGAAGGTCTTTTGTCTTACATAGACGTCACATATCCTGCCTTCTCTCATGCTATGTCATGATAGTTGACTTTCTAAGTCTGTTGTCCGTCATCACTCAGACTTCGAATTGGCTGACATTGATTTGACATAAACATGTGGCGCAGGTTATGTGCTGAACACGCAAACAATTTATATGTGCACGCTGTCCTGAATATTATCTTTCAGTGACAGTAAATACTTTACACCCAACATTCTTCCCCTGGGGTTATAAATCCCCTGTTTAGGTGAACACATTAAGTGAGCACATGGTGGGCACACAAAACGTAGCAGCATCCCTGCACATATTTTGGCTGATCATGGAAACAATATAATTACATTTCATTATAGCAAATGTCATTGTTCACATCTTATTTTATACACATGAAAACATACACTGAAAAACATGTGACACAAACATACAAGAAATAGGAATAGTTTAGCAGTTCCCTAACTGAGATACTGAATACTCACAAAGAACTATTTCAAGCAGAATGTGTAGACAAATTAGGAAAAGGTAGTATAGACTAAGCTTAACTCCCTAACCTATGTATACAAGATTAAAATTAATATTCACCTGGGAACTTTCCATCAATCGCCAAACCAGAATCCGACCGTAAAATTACCTTTACGTCGACCTGTGTTTGTTGCTTGCTAGCTGCGATGTGACGGGAATTCCAAAGGCTCGAAGTATACAATCTAACTGTCTCAAAGGTTAAACTCCTCCCTTTACTCGGTTCTACCCAACCCTCAAGACGATGACTTAAGCCACGCCTCTGAAGTACCTATCAGATCAAATTAGCTAACAAGTGGCCTGTCAGTCAATTCTGGACTGACATCCCTAGAGCGAACATTCTTAAGTGACCCAATCTAGTTTACAACGAATCTAACTGGCAGGCGTTAAAAGACGGTCAGTGAAGCCATTGTGTTTCCTGCTTGACCAAGATCAAACATTTCTAATTGGCAAACACCTGTTCTCCGGAGAATTACACTGACGTGCGAACTCCAGCCTCTGGTCGCCACAACGTCTACCGGTCCACTCAATTCCCCTGATCTAGTCTGTGTTAGGTAACCTTTACGACCTACGGTCTAGCTCAGGGAAGCTAATCTCAGGTGTGAGGCTAAGTTCCCCGTTCGCTGGCCTCTACAGTCTGTGGTCAGGAGATGACATTCTGACACTGGCACATGAGAATAGAATTCCTAGCTACAGTGTAAAGTTTTAGGTAATATTACCCAAGGTTGGGTCGCTTTGTCTGGACTAAGGACTGGAAACATTTAAATCAATTTGTTTTAAAGTATTACCAATAACCAGAAGAACTTATTACGAGTACTAACTTCTGGAACCACTGAGATCGTCTCGTGACAATATCAGAGAAACTCTACAACAGCACGATGTGCCTATGGTCGAGGCAGCCAGAAGAGCTGGAAACAGAACCTTATATCTCCCTCGACACCCACAGAGGTAAAAGAGGAAGTGAAGAAGAAGAAGAAGAATTCCCTTACACGATCTTAACTGAACTTTCTAATTTCTTATTCATTTTCAATGTTTCTGCTTTTATCTGTAGGGCTGAGTTTACATAATATTTGAGAACTGTTACTTTTAACGAGTGGTTTGCTTCTCTTGATGTTAATCTATTTCAATATCGTTTACAATATTATTATCCATACTTACCGTCGTTTTTAGGATAACATTTTTCGTTATTTGAAGCTCTACTCTGGCTTTTGCCAGGGGCCGCAATATAGCCTGGCTATAAATATGGCCTAAAGCTGAACGCGGTTTCTGGGACCTCTCCACGGTGATCCTCACCCACACGGTATGCACATTGTGTCATCGGGTGTTTATCGCTGGTGTGATGTCCTGTTGGGGTAGCAAGTCAGCCAGTCAATATCATTAACTATATTTTTCGTCATTCTTGATAATTCCCTCCCCCCCCCCCCCCCAATTATATTTTCTACCCTGCATCGCAATGAAATATTGTAGTCATATAAGAGCCACAACGGAATAGAAAAAAATAATTGCAGAAGGCATGGTACCAGGAAGGAGGGGAAGGGGCCGACCAACACGAAGATGGGCACATGATATAAGAGACTCCTTTAGTATGAAAGTACATGAGGTGGGAGATATGGCGAGAGATCGAGTTCCTTTCATGCAGACTGTGATAAGAGCGACGTTCTGTAAAGTACCTGTTACATGATGATGATGATGATCATAATCTTTTTTTTTTTTTTTTTTTATATAAAAGAAACGCTGATATGGCGAACCCTTTTTTTAAATGGGTTTCGCATTTTCCGTCACATATCACTATTTGTTCTACAATTCTACATCAGAGTTAAATATGCTTTAGGTCGCGAGTGCAGGGATTGGCCGGCTGGTGCTGCAGAATCAGAAGCTCAACTAATGATTCATGACAATTTCCGTCCAGGTGATGTGATCATTTATACAGATGGCTCTGCGATGAGAGGTAGACGAAATGCACAGGGGTTCATAGCAAAAGCGAATGGACGTTGCCTAGTGCAACAAATACAGGCATTTGATGTCACAACTTCTTGTTTAAGAATGGAAGTGGAGGCAGTCACTGCTGCCTTCAGCTAGCTTGAGAATCAGCTGAACACGCTTGTCGTAATTGATACTGACTCACAGAGTGGGACCGTCGGTAGTTACGTTGGAAAAGGTGGAGATAGGCATGCCCGTGCAATGTGGCAAGCATCGCTTCAGACGTCCTGTGTAGTTAGCGTCTTTTGGATATTTTCTCTAGTCTATGCTGGTGTTTAGGGAAACAGGTCTGTTCTGCACCTCTTGGTGATGAACTGATGTATGACAAGCTAGATGTTGTGAGGCCCTTTGAGAGCGAGTGAACAGTGCGACGGCACAAAAAGATATTTACAATCGAATAATAATGGCGCTGCGAGGATTTACCAGAAAATCTGGCCGACGCTCAACACTCAAGGGAAGGCGAGACGGATGTACAATCAGTTATCAGTAACATGAGAATTGGGACTCCTCGCTTGTTGCTGAAGATAAAGACGGGGCGCTTATGGGAGTGTCCCGAGTGCTGTGATGTCGATTTTCAATTCAAAATTTCGATATGCAGCTCTGTTAGCTAAACCGAAAGCCGCTAGAGATGTGGATATACAACAGAATATGCTGTATTTAACGAAAACAAAAACAATCAAATACGGAGATTGTGAGTGACTAGGAATAAAAAGAAAGAATGCAACGAGACAATTGAACTATTTCGGCTACATTAAAAGACTTAAAACCGATAAAATCTAGGCTGGGCAGCAAAGTTGAAGACAAGCGAACATGAAGTTGACAGCGATACCGGATTACCGGTAGTAGTAATAATACATTTAACCCCACCAGGACATCACATAAGCGAATCACATAAGCGATAAACACCTGATGACACAATGTGCCACCATGCTGATGAGGATCACCCGTGGAGAGGTCCCGGAAACCACGTTCAGCCACTAGGTCATATTTAAGGCCGGCCTTAATTGCGGCCCCTGGCAAGAGCCAGGGTGGGGCTTCAAAATAAGGAAAAATTGCATCCCACAAGAGAATCACGGAATAATTTTTTACCTGAGTGCTACGATATCGATTGTTACATCAACATTAGTGTAGATTCTTTCACTCCTAGGCCTTTCAGTCCACAATATCAGATTTCAGCAGAGTCCTAATTCATCGTCGTTTATGACATGCTTCTTATGGGGTCGGCGTCTGTGGCTTAGTAATGCCGGGGTGCCGGGTTCGATCCCAGCTGCGGACAATTTGTCTTTTGTTGGTTTCGACAGTGATACTGACAGCCGACAGTCCAGCCTGGCAAACTAGTTAACGTAAAATTTGCCTAGAAATACTACAACAGCCAAAAAATGCTGGGGTTGGTTTTGCAACGTCTTGTAAAGGATACGCAACTAACTTTTTTTTTCTTATGAGGGCAGGGGATGAATTCTTTCTTACCCTTCAAAATGAATCATCATCATCATGAACCACTTCTGCCGTTAAGCGTCGTGGGGAGGAATAATTTGCGATCCAGTGCACGTTGGCTGCCACTGGCTATTGTCATGCCGTGAAGGCGTAGAGTGTCTTTAATGTTGTCGATCCATGTTTTCCGCGGCCGTCCTCTTGCTCTTGTAGTTGATCTTCTGAGATGTAGTGCTTGTGATGGTATTTGATCTTGCTGCATTCTAACGAGATGGCCAAACCACTTGATCTGCTGTTTCTCGATGAATCTAGTACAAGGTGTTGTTTCCACAATTTGCCTGATAGTTTCATTATTCACTCGATCTCGGATGGTTCAAAATGAATTGACCCGGAAAAAATCGTTTCTAATGTCTTCACAAATGTTGTTCTAATAGTGTTTAATAGACTTCCGGTTAAAACATGGCTACCGGAGCAACCGAAACCACCGTGTCTCCCATCCTTGCTGGGGCTCCACGAGTTGAATTTGTGGTAAATTTCGATACCGTTTAGTTATCAGTATATCATTTGTCCACAGATACACGACATTATTGCTTTTGAATAAATAGCATACACATAATAATGTGTTATTTTGACGACGCATATAGATCATCATGATGATGCTGAGGTTTGGGAAAAAAGTGGAATTAATCAGAAGTTTACAAATAACAAAATTTGTTACAAATGTTATATGTATCGATCGAACTTACACTTATTGTAGTTGTAATTTTTTTTTTAAATTGTAATTTATGAGTGTAGCCAGTCCTGTGAGTTGACACATTTTTATGGTCATGGATGGACGGCCCATCAGGACTCTTTGCTGCAAAGCGTCAAATTTTTAAAATGCCCTCTACACCAATAAAACCAGCACAGTAGTTAGATAGCTGTAAACAATCTCTTTCCAATGGTACCTCATTTCGGCTTGTATGTCATTTCTGAGCTGAGATATGTAGGTTTCTGTGGAGATAAGATGTAAAAAACAGCTGCTAAAACTAACATGCGTACCAGTCAGAAACAAGAAGTTTTCTCTGTGCAACCAAACTGCGCACTTTCGTTTTGGCTTTGTTTACATTGGTCCAATGATTGGACAAGATGGCAGACAATTTTTCTCAAACACAGCCACATAATAGCGATTGCCTGAAAAATGTCACTGTAAATGGAATTAGCCATAAATAAGAAAGAAATTTCATATACAAATGTAAAATTGGACGGAGAATTCAATTATAACTAGCATTACCATGTCAAGTAATGTTTAAGGCCTAAAGCCAACCTTGAATACTTAAGGCTATTTTCAATCAAACTGATGTAACAGAAAAACAGAGGACGTCCGGCTGTCGTAGACATGCGCTGTTAATCGGGTTCGTTCCCGCCGTTTTCAGCTATTTATAGCTGGTGAAAATCACACCAATCGCAAAATTTCATGAGAGATTAGGACCCATCTCGAAACCCCAGCCGACATTTCCTAAACAAGTTTCAAACGGTTTCCATGGTAACGGAAATTGCCAAAAAGACCGCAAATTTCCGAACACGGTAGTCGCTAAAAGGCAAAGTCTGCTTCTTACACTAATTCTTTACTTCTTAACAGTAAGTGAGTAACTTACCAGTAGTATTTAATAGTACCATCTCTCATCACTCACCTCAAAATCAAATTTAATAAATTTTATTTTATTTCTAAATAATGTTACACGGAAAATCAAAAATATTGCATGCCAAAAAAATAGGCTCTCCTTTAAATACCGATCGCTGGCTGAAAAGCCGACGGTCGCTTAGTGGGAGTTCACTCCCTTGGCTGCATTGCAAATACGGAGCGGACAAGTCACGAATCAAAACAGACAGTGAGGTCGACATCAGGGCTGCCAATGCTTGGGTGTTTCCCCCAGATCTGGGTGTTTTTTTGACTCCTCGGGGACATCTGGGTTTTTTTTATAGTAAATATATCCTTATATAATGGTGCTATTAGTTGCCACGGATGTGACTCCTGCAGATCTGTATGCCTTAATGACCGATAAATTTGCGTGGTTAGGGTTAGATATGACACATTTGACGCAGGATTCCAACTAACCGCGCACAGTGACATACACACCCAAACAATTGAAGGACTGTGAATGCTACTCACACGGACAAATCGCCATCAATTAGGCACTTTCCGCATTCATATTTAGGAGAATTCCAGTGGCGCCACTCCCACAAGCATCAGATTGTCGGCCATTATGTGGAACTCCTGCGTCACAATTTTCACATCTAACCCTACCCTAACCCAATCCCTAACCCTAACTCTACCCCTAACCCTAACCCTACACCCTACTCAACCGTATGATGATAGGTAAGTATGCCATTTGTTTTGTTCCCGCTTTACGGTCCGTATTTGCACTGCAACCAAGGGAGTGAACTCCCACTAAGCGACCGTCGGCTTTCCAGCTAGCGATCGTTATTTAAAGGAGAGCCAAAAAATATGATGCTTTAAAAAAGGTGGCATCTTGTTAAATACTACCAGATAAAAAGTCCTGGTGGTTATTATAGGATGTCTGTGTACTGTACTTTTCTTCTTCCTAATCCGCGTGATTCTGAGAGTTATTTAAAAACTGTTGAATTCAGAAGCCCAGATTTTTTTCTCTAATGATGATGAAATGGTCTGTTGCTCACCTTTACATGTAAGAAAGTAAAGTACAGGTATCTTGTTACGCTAATTTAAATTCAGGCGTATGATGCTAGACTCATATTTTTATAAACCAGTCAACATCATGCTGGCCATCTTTACTTTTCTGTACTTTACCTGGTACTCATTCTAGGCTGGCCACCCTAGAAGCCACGGACATTGGGGGGGGGGGGGGGATCAATGTGGATTGAAGGCTTTGTAGTAATAAATCAAGAGTCAGCTTACTAAGCCTGTTGCAACTTTACAAGAGCCTGTTTGGCCAGGACATTTTTTAATGACCAAGGAAGGCCTTAATAGGCCACCATAGCAGTCCTGAGGCACGAGGTCACACCATAATTCGCAAGACCATACTACTTTGTCTCATTTGCCGCCTTTTATGATGTGGACATAGGATTAGGATTTAATAATGTTAGTATAATTGTCTTGGATAGATAAGACTCATAAAGAGAACTCCCCATTTCAAGTGTGGTTTCTGGCATCTCATTGTGGGAATAACAAGAGAATAAACCCACTTCCTCCTCAACAAGCAAGCATGTCGTAAGAGTCAACTAATTGGTGGGGGGGGGGGGGGTGGCGTGGGGGCTTCCTTCAGAGTTGAAGTACATCTGCCTGAGAGGCAAGGAACCAACAGTCTGCATACAAATAAGTCAACTCTGCAAAAAAGATGTGCATGCAAAACCAAGGTTTTTGAACAAGACTTTGGTCCAGAGGTGGACAAACAACCAGAACTTTCCGCTGGAGTTTACAGCTGGTGAACACAAAGAAGAAGAATAACTTCCCATGTTTTTTATGGGGGGAGAGGGGGGAAATAGACCCAGCCTCTTTCAAGCATGTCATCTGCCTAACGTAAGGAACCATCAGTCTATATATAAATAAGCCAGATCTGTAAAATGGATATGCAACAAAAGTCATGTTCTGGAAGATGACCAGAGTTCAGAATTTGACGAACAACCAGAACTTTCCACTGGAGCTTACAGCCAGTTAATGCTAAGAAAAAGATAAAGATAACTGGCTACTCATATCAGAAGTAAAAAAAAAAAAAAAAAACCCAGTCCATATTCTTCTGGTACACAAAGAATAATGGAAAACTGGAATACATTATGACAACAACAAAATTAGACGGAAAAAAAGAGGCAAGGGAGATGCTGTTTGAGGGGCATTAATGACATGAAAGGAACATTAGAGTCACAGAAGGGGCATTTTTTTTGTTCGTTGTATGTTAGTTCTGGGTCCCAGTTTCACCCCCCCCCCCCCCCACACCATAGGAGGAGCTAATTGAGGATACGCTGAATTTGAATATGTTGTGCCTAAAGGCATTTATATCACAGCTAGCCTAGCTGTAAATCATAACTGCCCTTTTAAAAGAGTGTAATTTGTTGGCATAATCTTAACATTAACTCATGAACTGGAAACTCAGAGTGATATCTTTGTACTAAAATCTGACATCCCTTAACAGCTAATGAAATTGTTATGTTGTTAAAAGTTGAGAGTTGTCTTTTAGTAGTAAAGTTGATGTGTTCACTTTCTCTTGCTACAGGAAGATGTAGATGAGTTCATGAAAAAGGCAGAAAATGATTCTGCCGAAGCTGTTTTGAAAAGGCAGGAGGAGCTTCACAACAAGTTCAAGTTCATGGAGTATAATATCAATTTGAAAAAATCCCGGTAAGAGTGTCAGATTTCAGAACTGCCTTCTCGCTAAACCGTTATAAATAAGTAGAACCTACGAACTATTGATATCCTTCAGGGATCCTCCTTATTGGTAGTCAGTGTGTTTAACTTAGGGGTTATGAACTGCTGGCACTTTGGCAGCAGACTGCCATGCTTTTTTGTTTTGTTTTTGCAGTAGTAGTATGAACATTGAAAGGAGATGATCTACATTCATTGATCATCATGTCACGAGAAGTGGATTATGACATTGGGAAAGCTGGAGGGGAAAAGAGGTGAGGGAGACTGAGAGAGTAGATGCTGAACAGTTTGACCTTGATATAGAAGATCATCTGTTAGAATAGATTGAAAATTAAAAATACAGATGGTTGTGGATAGACATGAATACCAACGCCACACAGCATGGACTTTAGGAAAACAAATGAGCATTCATCATCATCAATTTCTTCTTCTGCCGTTCAGCATTGTGGGGAGGAACAGTTTTTGATCCATCGCTTGATGGGCAATAATGGATATTGTCATTCTGTAACTTCTTCTTCTTCTTCGCGTTCACCAGCTGTACACTCTGGCGTAAAGTTCTGGTTGTTCGTCCACTTCTGGACTGCAGTCCTGCTCCAGAACCTGAGTGTTGCGTGTGCATCAGTTTTACAGATCTGATTCAATTGAATGTAGACTGCTGGTTCCTTGCCTCTCAGGCAGATGCACTCAGACTTCAAAGGAAGCTCCCCAGTTAGTCGACTCTTACGACATGCTTTTGGGGAGGCAGTGGGTCTATTCTTGTTTTCCCCACAATAGGGTCCCGGAACCCACACGGGGGGTCACTCTGTAACGATGTAGAAGCTCTTTAATGTCATCAATCCATGTTCTCCTAGGGTGGCCTCTTGTTTTCACTTGGTAGTTGTTCTGGCTGCATTCTTACTAGATGACCAAATCATTTGATCTTCTGTTTCTCAATGAATTTGCAGCATGGTGTTTTTCCTATAGTCTGTCTAATATCATTTCTAACTTTGTCTTGAATGGTTAAATTGGCGACTTTTCTCAGGCATCTCATTTCACAGGTGTTTATTTTATGTAGATTAGCCTTTGATAATGTCCAAGTCTGGTTGCCATCTTGTAAACTTGCCAAAAATATGCAGCTAACTTTATTGCAAACTTTATCAGTAAACAGAAATGATTAAAAACAATTTTATATGTTTACGCGTATTGGTATGTTGCCTGAATCTGAGCTGTCTGTTTTGCACACACAGGTTAAAGAACCAGATTCCAGACATAAAGAGCTCGCTAGATATTGTCATGCACTTGATGGTGAAAAAGGTGAGAAAGTGTCTACTAGGTGTTTGTGCACACTTGTTATTGCAAAGTATTATTTTATATTGAGAAGATATTTTTTCAGGTATATAAGATTCTATGGCACAGCACCTGCAAACTAGTTACAGTAAGCATTTTGAGATCATGAATCTTTCCCATGACAACTTATGGGTGTGTGTCATTGACAGGTGGAGCTTTCAAACTGAAATGCTACAGAAAGTTTCTTAGAATACCATGGACCATTACAATTGGCTCATCCTGTCCTGAAAACTGAGGTATTTTTGTCATATTAAAGTCATGGTGACCTAGAGAGAATGGTGATGGAGGGTACAATTTCTGATAAGTGATGCAGAGGCAGACCTCTGAGGATATGGATACAAGATATTAAAGATGCATTGGCTTTGAAAAGCACATAGGGCTGGATAATTGACTTGAGGAAGAGAGACTTTCAGGCATGCCATGACTAGAGCAGTGTTCTGTAAAAGACCAGCTGATTGATGATGATGATATAAGATTCCCCCACAGCTGGTGTTGATTACTTTCAAGTGTCAGTAAGAGGAAAGCTGAGGCATTAAACGTAAGATTTCTAGAACAGTGGTTGTTAACATTGTTCAGGTGGCCCTCCCTTGAATATATGGCAAGACCCCACACGCAGGTTCGAGAAGGAAATATATGCCAATGGCAAATTATTAATAATATGGAATGTCAGGTGTGTGGGGGTGACACTCAGTAATGGATGTCTTTGGAAGTTATGGGAATCTTCTGTATCAGAAGGCTCTAATAAGGTGACTGGAAATTTCCTGCGTTATTTAATCTGCCAATGATCTAAGAAGGCTAATCCAGTCAACAAATACCTTGAAGACATTGGATGTGTTGGCCAGGAGCTGCAAATATCACAAGTCTGTGTAATATGACATAGTAGTTATATCCAAACCAAAAGATATTAGAGGAATGAAGATTTCCCCTAAACACTGGGCTGGAGCTTAGTCACAGAGAAATGCCTAAACTTGTTGGGTGTGGGGAGACACACTGCTAGCCTAGGTGTCATCTTCTGTTGTCCCCCTCTCTTCCCCATCTCTCTCTCTCTCTCACACACATATGCACAAACTTTTTGGGTGTGGGGAAACAACACTGCCAGCCTAGGTGTCATCTTATTTTTGCGCCCCTCTCTCTACTGTCTCTCTCTTTCTCACACACACATGCACATAAGTTCATTAGTTTATTAAGTTATAATAAATGTAGTTATTTTCTTGAAGCCACACAAATAAAAATCCCTAGCCATACACATTTTCTGTTAATGGCAGTGACAATGGCGGTAATTTGTCAAATTGAGATTTCATTTATAGCAGTTTAGCTTTTTTGTTCTTCCCATTTCTTCCCCCAGTGGACCATAGCCCCTCAACAAACACATGCTAAATTGTCCTGTCTCCTTTCCCAGTTTGGCTGGCTGGGTCCTATTTGTTACTTTTTTTTATACTTCCATGGTTGGTTGGTTTTTCTGGCTAATATTTTACAAGATAAGGTGCTCTACACTCCCCTTAGTTACCTTTTCTAACATGCCAGACGCGGTGCAGCGTTATTCCCCCCCCCCCCCATTTCCTTGAATGCCCCAATAAATAACACAGAGCATTAGATTTGTTAACCTCCAAATAAAATAGAAGACATACATGCACATACACTTTGTCACTAGACAAATTAATATGGGTTTTCAGCATAGCACTGGTGTTAGCTTTGTACCTTTGAAATAACATAGAACATGCATGCATATAAACCTCCTCACTGAACAAATTGATGTATGTTTTCAGAACAACACAGAGCCGCTGTCCACACGGTTTTTACTCTCTGACAATGTGTATGCAAAAGCAACAGTTCCGCCCACAGAGAAGGTCTGTCTGTGGCTAGGGGTAAGTACATTATTCATCTGTTGGTTTCAGCTCTTCCTGTGTCTTTCTGGATTGTCCAGGATGGAAGAAGGAAAGTCAGCAGCCTCATAGAAAAATAGACTTCCAACTGCCAAGGGATATTTCAGTGTGTGTAACAATATACACATGGGCGTCTGGTCTTACCACCCAGAGACCAGGGGAAATTACTAAAGTCCACGTGAAAACATATCCCAGCCTTCACCAGGGTCTGAACCCAGGACTTCCAGCTCTTGAGGCGGATGCCATGCTTTGAGACCACCCAGCCCCCATTTAGGATTCATCATATAAATTATATTTCTGTTGTTTTGGTATTTCATTTTTCTTTGCTGTTAAATGTCCACAGTTGGCAGTTGTAACACAGTAGTGGTACAAATTATGTATTGAATAATGCATTTTTGGTGTCAGTTGTGAATGATCCATTATCACAGTCATCCCCTTGTGGGATGCAATTTTTCATTATTTTGAAGCCCCACCCTGGCTTTTGCCAGGGGCCGCAATATAGCCCAGCCATAAATAGGGCCTAATGGCTGAACGCGGTTTCCGGGACCTCTCCACAGGTGATCCTCATCCGCATGGTGGCACTTTGTGTCATCGCCTGTTTATCACTTGTGTGATGCCCTGGTGGAGTAAAACTACTACTACTACTATTTGTGAATTATCAGTTCTACCTGCAAGTAGCGAGAATGAATCATGTAGTATTACATTTTTCTCCATAGACCTGATTCATCATTTTGTATTATTAATTCTGTTTCATCATCTTTCTTGTGTTTTTATGTTTCAGGCAAACATAATGCTGGAATATGATATTGACGAAGCTAGCCAGGTGCTTGTAAGGAATCTAGAGGCTGCCAAGAAAGCTTTGCAACAATTAGACGGGGATCTTTTGTATATACGTGATCAGATGACTACCTTGGAAGTCAGTATCCTTGTTACAGGAAGGTTACCTTTATTTAAGTGTTGTTCTTTCTGGGCAATTAGTTAGGAGTTTGTTGGTTGGTAATAAATGCCTGATCGCTGTACAGCAAATACTAGGGTTCGTTCCTAGGGGTGGTCATTAAAAACAAAATTGTTCTCATGGATAGTAAGAAAGTCACACTGTGGAAGCAATTGGGGCCTCACCAGATAATGTTCCCAACGACGGCAGTGGTACACTGTAGTCAACTTTCATTGTAGAGACGGCACGAAAGGTATTATTAATTTTTTTTTCAACGTACTATTGGTGCATCAGGTGTATGGTGTTAGAGCCATATTTATTCTGACCGGTCAGACAGAACTCATATTTTTATTGACCTGTCGGAACTGACCCTTATTTTTATTGACCAGTCGAAACTGGCCCATAATTTTTATAGACTAGTCAGGAATTGCTGAGTGCTATGGTCAACATCGCACCTGCCCTTTACTCCCAGGGTCATTTCCTTATACTCATTTTAGACCTGAGAGCTATAATGATCTTCTTCAGTGTTCCGAGCCCTTGAGGTTCATTGCTGCAGATATCTCCCGTCTCCACTCATCTCTCTGGTTGGCCTTCTCTTTCCAGTTGGAAACGCCAAATGTATGCAGGTCTGTCTGGACGTTGTCTCTCTATAGTCTTCTTGGTCGGCCTCATGGTCTACCACCATTCAGCTCCCTTGTATATACAGTTCCTACCTCTCTGTCATTTGACATTCTTAAGTGTACCCAAGCTATTTCAGTCTATCATGGGAAAAGACTGGTGGGTTGATAAAGAGAAACTTTAGATGTCTTAAGCAAGCAGTAAAGTGGGAACAGTACTAAAGAACATTGTGACCTGCTCTGGGACTGGTGATTGTGACAGATGGATACCGTAATAGCAACAGCAGACAGTCCTCAGATTCGAGGACTTTGTTTTAATTTTGGGAAGAGGGGATGGAGTAAATTCACTGCCCCTTAACAATCATAAAATGTAGAGGGCGCTTTTCCATGCCTATGTTGGGTAAATATAAAAAAAGTAAAGTAAGTAAAGGACCCTTTTTCACGCCCTTAGGCATATAGGGCTAGACCTATATTTTTATAGACCAATCGGCACAAGATGGGTGATGTGGTCAGCATCACGCCGGCCGCCTCTACTTCCCTGGACTGCACCCGGTACCCACTCAAGGCTAGGGGTAAATAGTGCTAGACCTAAATTTTATAGCTGCGTTCTTCATACTGTTTTTGACGCGCCACCCTTGTCAGGCAAAAAAACTTCACGACACACCTACCCTTTAAGCGGTTTGAAAACTGGGGGGGGGGGGGGGGGGCGAATTTAATGTTCATTTGTCTTTAATGCAATGAATGAAACTGTTTGGGTGAATCTTTCATTATTTCCTTTATGTTTATTACAGTCTAGTTAATCCACGAAATCACTTGAAGGTTGCTCCAATATTTTTTTTAAATTGTTATATAAGCCTACTTAAAAAATGCACTGCAGCCTTGCCAATAGCATACTTTTCTGAACACACCTGCATCCAGAACTCTTCTTGGCTTTCTTCATTTGATTTATGTTTTAAACTGCTGTCTTCGCTGATCTCAAGCAGATTTTGAAAAAATTCTTGATTATTCTGCGGCATCCAGTTTGAGAACTGCTGTTTTATAGACTAACTGGCATAGGTGGGTGATGTGGTCAACATCGCACTGGCCTTTTTTAGTTCCAAGGTGTTACCTGTTACACATTTTTGGTTGGGTCACCTTGGTAGGCAAGGTCATAAAAAAAATAGTCTAGCTGGATGCTGATCTGAACCTATGACATTTGGGTACACATGCGAGAATCTAGCCACTACACCACAGCAGCTCCAAACAAGCATAAAAGGTGATTAATTATGGATTTGCTGACATTGGGTGCATTGGGCCAAAAGGCACAGGTAATTGGGTGTATTGGGCCAAAAGGCACAGGTAATTGGGTGTATTGGGCCAAAAGGCACAGGTAATTGGGTGTATTGGGCCAAAAGGCACAGGTAATTGGGTGTATTGGGCCAAAGGCACAGGTAATTGGGTGTATTGGGCCAAAAGGCACAGGTAATTGGGTGTATTCGGCCAGAAGGTTCAGTTTTCACAGACCAACATAACAGGGCAGCTTTTGTGAGCAAATTGAAAGGAAGAAACATGGCACACAATCATAGTGATCATTAACACTTTGCCGTTATTCATTGAAGTCTACTTAATATTATCTAGACCTAATTGTTTGATAAATACTTTTGTGGTACAGTCTTAAAGATATAAGTGAGCTGTTATTATTATTAAAATGCATTGCTATATAATTTGACTTAACCCCTGTAACAGACATGGCACGAGTCTATAACTGGGACGTGAAGCGTCGGCAAGCTGAGAAAGATGGAAAGTCCTAGTGTCTCATATACCATGTTTAAATCTACCATTTTATAGCAAAATAGTTTTAATTTTTTTTAAATAAATATTTTAAACTCTGATTTTGCTGGATTGAATCTTCCCATGTCTTATTAAAGATTTTTTTTTTGGGGTTTTAAATGCATTACTTGCTGTTATGTCAGTTATTTCGAAATTAGTAATTATCACTTGTGTAGTTTAGTTGTGTGACAGTGAATTGCCAGATTGTAACAGGGAAGTTGTGAAGGTCAGCAATGTTTAACACCATCGTGGCTATATGTGGTCACTTCTAGTGGTGACCCAGCCCCGAAATTGCTGATATATGACCATTTCTGCAGTGACGTGTTCTCAGAAAGTGTAGTTAAATGCCATTGGTTCTATGTGCTTGCATAGTTTTTAAGAGGCTTGGATAAGAATATTTTAACTGAATATAAAATTTGGATGTATTTCCCTGTAAAGCCGACAGCTTTTTAAAAGCCAGGTCGACTAAAAAGTTTTCCCTGGTAAGACTCGGTGATGCACAAGACTTCTTCTTTTCTCTGCTCCAGGAATGCTTCAGGGCAGGAAGAGGTCTCTGGAACGGGACCTTCTGTTCGCTTTGTATAAAGTACTTTTCATTGTCTCTGATATTTCTGCTGTCCATATTCTGCGTGGTCGACCTCTAGATGTTATAGCTGTATCCTATCACACTGCTCACTATGGTGCCCTGTCTGATACCAGTCAGTCACCCGATACATATTTGTTTTAGGCCCAGGGAGTGCATACCATTTAGTACTTCACTCTGTTTTTTGTTTATTGATTACCCCCTTTGTATATCAGTAAACAAAATACAAAACAAAAATTTTTTTTATTTAGTTTATCTGTTTACCTTTGTAAAATAGTGTTCTTTTTTCTTTTAAGGGATTTTTTTCCAAAAAAATACTGATTCATGATTAATTATTTTTGTTTAGCATTCCTGGGATGAAAGAAAGAATGACTAGCTGAATTCTGTATGTGGTCAGATCTAGTAATTGGAGGCATCATCTTTACTCATAGGGAGATTAATAAATTAACCTGGCACTGACCACACGGAGTGACTAAGAATCAGATAGACCGCCTCTATATAAACAACATATATAGAAGCTTTTTGGATGTCCGAGCATACAGAGAAGCAGATGTGAGCAGTGAGTGACCACATCTTATGTGTAGGAAAATTAAAGCTTAAATTTATCACAGCTGCCAAGAAACATGTGCAACCAAGAATTGATTGTCAAAGACTGCAAAATGAAAGTTTGAGCTGAAAAACAGATTTGAGGCACTTGAAGTAGAGGGAGATCAGGGTAAAGAGGAAAACTGAAATGACCACAGTTTTAGAAACAGCAAGGATTAGTGTAGGACTAAAGAGGCATGTTAGAAAACCCTGGATAGTGATGACACATAGCAGTGTATTCAGGGAAGAAAGGCATTGAAGCTTGCTATATGCAGTGCTAAAACAGTGGAACAAGGAATTAGGGCTAAAAGAATGCAGCAAGAACGATAAATCAAAGGTTGGGCAGGATGAGATAAGAGAGCATATGTTGATGGATTAGCTAAAGATGTGGTCTACTTAATATAAAAGATGAATATTCTAGTGAAAAAAGCGGTGAGTCAGGAGATGGTGGCATTAAATAGGACGCAGTGAGAAAACCTCATTACATTATAACTAGGATGTCGTAGCACTAGAACCCATTGTCAGAGAAATAAAAGCAGACTGAAAACATGAAGAAGAGAATCTTTCCTTTCTCCCTGTCAGTGGTTTTCAGATGAGAATGCCACAGGTCTCTATAAAGTCTGTGGAATGGAGCTTGTATTCTGCCCTTTCATACAACTTGGTTTCCTCTGGAATGCCAACCAGCCAAACCTGGGATCTCTACTGCATATAGAGAGCTTGTCTATACTATAAGCCAAGTTCACTTGAATCTAATGCACAGTCTAAATACATTGCCATTTCTTTTGTGTGGGGAGGTTGACTGGAGAAGAGAATGAGATGTAAAAGATGAAGACAGGGAGTGAGTGTCAGTTTGGTGTGAGTTGGTTGAGGGCTGATGCTCTATTGACTGTTTGAAGTTTAAACAATGGATCAACATCATGGCACACAAGTAGTAACCCATACATGCTTGGTTCTTCTTTTAACTCAAGTTTGTGAGTCTGAAGAAGCTCAGCACAGTGCACATGCTGTGTAGCACCGACGAGGATCCTGAAATACTTTGGGTAGATTTTTAACTTAAAATTTTGCCAGGGCAGTGCCGTTAGGCTACTCTTTTCGATTTCCAAATGCCAAGGGATATTTACGTGCGCAACTATACACACGGGTGTCTGATCTCACTACCCAGAGTCCAAGTTTAAAAAAATCTCAGCCCTTACCGGGAATTAACCCCAGGACCTGGTAGAGGGAAAAAAAAACAGGTTTTCCAGAAATCAAATCATTAAGGAAAAAATTGTTATTTTTATCAATCAGTATGGGTGACCATTTTCTGTATATGGACAAGGCACGGTTTCTACATACGTATGTGAACAGACAGCTGTAATATTGTTCAAGACTCTTCCCTTATTATGTACTAAATATTGATATATCAACAAACTTCTGTGTGAGACAAACTTTGACTAGAAATGTGAATGGAAAATACAACCATATGTTAAGCTTTCTATCATAATTTGGCTTGTATTTAGAAATTCTTGGTATTAGCTCGATTGCAGTCACTACGATTTACATCATCACTTTTCTTGTAAACCTGTTTAGATGTATGACATTGAAGACCTTCTGTATACACACGGATTGACAATAGCCATTACCCACCAAGCAGTGGATCACAAACTGTTTCTCCCTGCTGCACTTTGTGGCAAAAGTAAAAATTGATAATGAAGATGACTGAAACAGTAAAGGAGGAGAATAAAAGAAGCCCATTATTTGTCAAATGACAAACCAATTGGTTTGAGAATGCAGCCTAATTTTACTGTGGTTTAAAACAAACAATTATTTTCACCCTTAAAAAGGTATCTGGCCATCTTGTGCTTCCCTATGACTACAAATGGCAGACTGGATGTCTGCCTTCCTTGGAAAACACACCCACACAGTTGAGTTAAGAATTGACATCACAGCACTCAGGGCATTCCCATATGTGCTCCATCCTCATCTTCAGCAGCCAGCACAGAGTTTCAGTACTGATGGTACCGGTCACAATTTGGTTATTTGTCCGTCTTGCCTTTTCTCTTAGTGTACAGTGTAGTGAGCCGGCCAAACCCTCTGATTTCACCCAGGTGCCTCATTCTCTCCAGTCCATGATAATCTTCTTTCTCTACTGATTCCATTGCTTGTTCCCAAAGGGCCTTGACCACATCTGCACACACAAAAGGAATGTCTCATGTGCATTTGCACAGAGATAAAGTCCCTAGAATGTGAACATTATTTTATCCCTTCCCTGAGTGCTCTTCAAATTAAAAAAACCCTACCCAAAGCAGTATGTAATATTGTATACACACATTGCAGTCCACATTACAACCTATGTTTGATTTGCTGGTTTGTTTGTTTAAATAATAATTGATCAGTATGTAATGATTTTCTCACTATAGAGTACTTTCTTCTGCGTTAACCCTTGAAAAAGCAGTTGGCATGTTGTTTTCTTGTGGGAAGAGGAAACGATGCCTAGAATTCTATTTTCTCCATGTGGCTTTTGGGGTCAAATGTTAGGGGAAACAGTAATGGATCCACTAGCCCCATAATAAGCATGCTGTAAAAAGCAGCTAATTAGAGGTGCCTCCTTCAGAGTTTGAGTGCATCTGCCTGAGAGGCAAGGAACCAGCAGTCTACATACAAATCAATGTCCAGAAGTGGATAAACCACCAGAAACTTTCTGCTGGAGTTAACAATTTGTCAATGCTAAGAAGTATAAGATTTATTTCGAGTAGGCTATGGCATCCTGTATAAAGACATTAGTTTTCTGTTAACCATACCAGACCGCTGGCCCCATTTTCTGGAAATTTCTTAATTTGATGCTATACCACTATTTCGGCCTTTTGTGTAGTATAGGAAAACAATGAGTCACAGACTAAAAATAACTAGCCAATCGTAATCAGATCTCATGGATAGTCTTTCTAGATGTCCGCCTGCATGTCTGGATACAATTTGTGTTGTTTTACCTGAAAAAATTCACAATAAAACGAGCGGCTGATAAACTTGGACAGGAAAGTAAAGTAGGTCTAGGCTTTTCACAGTCCAACAGGTGATCGATACTTCGGTTTTTTTAGACTCTGCGGAGTCATTATTTCATGAAGAATATGTTCACAGTTGAAGTGACACATTCAACTCAAATAATGATGAGAATCTTGAAAATTATAAATCTAGAAATAGACCGGTAGTAAGAGAAGGGGCGTGTCCCTCAAACAGTAACATCTGGTGCTCACTTTGTGAAACAGTCCTGATCCTCCTGAGTGGATTGGCACACAAAGGTGGAATATTGGCCCTAGATAAAAAGATAAGCCTATTTTCTACAATGTCTTTAAATTTCATCCTATTCTAGCCACTTGTTTGCATGTAACTAATATTTTTGTATATCATGTTGGTTTTTTTTTTATGCGTTAATGCTCAGGTATAGGTGACAGTTAGGTTCAGGGCTTCAGGTCTGGTAGGGTTAAAATCACATATGTCCCTTGTAATATTATAAATGATGGAGAATCTACTCTTAGATAGATAGAAAAGAGGGGTTGGGGAGTAAATCTGTTTAGAGGAAGTGAAAAATGCATGCTAAAGTCTCACACTGACTTTGTATATTGTACATAGACTGAGAGTCATAGCAGTATAGTAGCTAGCATACTTTTCTACCAGCATGGTAGGCATGTGTTGAAATCCCCCATGTGACAGGGATATTCTTCCGTTAGCCTGAGCTTTTGGGTTAAAACAGCTTAAATTAAATACTAGGAAATGTCTTGGGAAGTAAAGGCAACTGACCTGATACTAACTCTCCCATCTCCCATTGACTGCTGATTT